ATTGGCCTCAATTGACATCAGCTGAGGACCTGTCCCAGCAAACCATGCATCATAGCATGCCACCAACTGTATCTACTCTGATGCTAACATAGCCTAGTTCATTGCAGCTGATTTTTTTAAAAAAGCCCCTGGGATATTCTGATGGGGGGGCAAGGGAGGAGGGCTGCTTCAGTCTCTCCCGTTGAAGCTGTTCAACTGAGGATAAATAACAAAAGAGTGGTTGTAACAGGGACTGGTCTCAGGATCTCCCGCCCTAACCACTAGACTATAGAGTCATTCCCATTCTCGCTCCCTGGCCCAATGAGTATTAGGCATTTAAGCTGCCTGATTGCAGGTGCCCATTCGTGGATCGCTAAGCAGAGCTAGACACCTCCAGGCAGCCCAGACTTAGGCACTGCTAGAGAGTGGCGGGGTTTAGCACAATCCCCCCTCTGATCAGCATCTCCGGTTGGCTAGATTAGGCAGCTCCCTGCCTAGCATGATGGCTTTTGTGGATCACATTCAAAAGCCCTGCTCTCTCTCCTCATCCACTGTCTAGAGAGCCTAACTCGACTTTGAGGATCACAGTGTTGTTCCTAATTTTCTACACAGCTAAATTAGACACTGTGATGCTCAGCATTGCAATGCCTAAGTCCCTTCAGGGGTTCCCCTCCTTTGGCACTCATTTTTACAAGTGGGGAAACTGAGGAACAAACTACCTCTCTTTCCAAGGTGCTGAACACCTGCAGCTCCATTTGGCTTTAACAGGAGCTAGGGCTGCTCAGTACATCTGAACAAGGCCATACGTGATTTGCCCAGAAGTCATACAGAAAATTAGTAGCAAAGGTAGGAACACAAGAACCCAGGCATCCGGCCTCAGCAAAATAAGTTCAAAGAACACAGACGGTCAACCTAGCGACCATTTTTGTTCTTTATGAGAATTATGGTTTTAAAATGTATTATGGCACTGGCAGATTAGATCTGTGCTTTTTTGTCCCATCATTACTCTAATTTTACCTTTTCTTTTTGAAGCTCTCCAGTACCATTAGCTGCCAACTGGTGCATTAGAGATTTGGAGAGAGCATTGTCCTGGCCTTTAGAAATTTTTAATAAGAGAATTTTCCAGGCTTGTCTGTAATGATATAACACCACCAGGCAACAAGTATTAATTACACCAAAATGGTTGTTATACTCAAATTATAAAGTACTGCATATTATGTTGAAAAAAGCCCTACTACAATTCAGGGAAATCTTAATGGTTTACTTGGTAGATCTTAATCTATTTTTACAAATTGGGCATGTATTTGTAGGGTGGTAGTATCCACCCAGTGTGCCAGATACTGTCTCACACATAGACCCTGACTTGACAAGTTTACAATCCGAGACTCCAATCCTGCAAAACACTTTTGTCCCAACTACTCATACTTAAAGTGTGTGCGTGTTTTGCAGATGAGGGCCTAAGACAAGCAACAGGTGAAAACCTGGGGAAGAGGGATGGATTCTCACTATATACAATATGATCGCGCATTGCAGTTGCTAAACATGGTCCAAACACATAGGGCTTTGTCCAATGACCTTTGAAGTTAATGGGGAAAAAACTCCCATTGACTTCAATAGGCATTTGAGCAAGTCCGTATTGAGACAATTCCTGCCTCACAAATTTCATAATTTGAGAAAACGGGACAAAAAGGAGAGGTAAATAAAACATTTATTTTAGAAGTAACTATCAGCTATCCCTAGTTGGTCCCTGTGAAAAATTGGGGGGGAGGGGGAGCTCCCTTTTGTGGACACCCAGCTAGCTATAAAATCCCTGTTAGCTGCTCTCTACTTGCTTTACCTGTAAATGGTTAAAAAAAGCCCATAGTTAAAAAGAAGGGAATGGACACCTGACCAAAAGAGCCAATGGGAGGGCTAGAACTTTTTAAAATTGGGAAAAAACTTCCCTTTGTCTGTGTGTTGCTGTTCTCTGGAGAGAGGGGACAAAGCAGGGACAGGGCTGAAACTATTCTGTAAAAGCTTTAAACCTCGTATGAAAAATCATCAAATCAGACCTAGAACTACTCGTGAACCTGATATGTAAGTAGATCAGGAATGTCTAGGAAGATGCGATTAGGGTTATTCCTTTTATTGCTTATAGGCTTGTGGACTACTCTATGCTAACCCCCAAATGCTTTTGTTTTGCATGTAACCTTTAAGCTGAACCTCAAGAGAGCTAGCTTGATGCTTAATTTTTGTAATTCTTTCCTTTTATGCTCTTACTATTTTCATTAAGACCAGCAAAAAGCCTAGCTTCCAGATGTATTTTCTTTCTTTTTGTTTTTAATAAAATTTACCTTTAGAACAGGATTGGGTTTTCTGTGTCCTAAGAGGTTCGTGCATAGGTTGTTTAATTAGCTGGTGGCAACACCTAATTTCCTTTGTTTTCTTTCTGAGCTCTTCCCCAGAGGGGGTGTGTGTGTGTGAAAGGACTTGAGGGTACCTCTGCCTTCCTGGGTTCTCAAAGGGGGGGGGGTGTACTTGGGTGGTGGCAGCATCTACCCATCCAAGGTCAGAGAAAAGCTGTAATCTTGGAAGTTTAATATCAGCCTGGAGTGGCCAGTATTAATTTTTAGAATCCTTGCGGGCCCCACCTTCTGCACTCAAAGTGCCATAGTGGGGAATGAGCCTTGACAGTCCCATATCAAGCCGTTATTAACTGGTAAATTTTGTATAGGTGTCAATATACTTCACTGAACATGAATCCTTGCCCTGCACCTCTAAAAATCAATGTACATTTCAGACATATTAAGTAGCATGAACTAAAGCCGTTTCAGGACCCTTAGGAGCTGAGAACCTGAGACCACAGCAGAGGGTTAGAAGCAAGTGTTTTACTGCATACGCTGCCCCTTGGGCTAATTCTAGGACCTAAGATCTTACTTTGTCAGTAAAGGCATAATGGAAACAAGGCTCCAGGTGGGCACAATGGAGACCATCGCATATCCTCATTCCCTGAATTTGCCGACATGCTAATGATTTTAGTTCCCTCAACTCTGGGGTAATCTCATTTGTTACTAAGGGCTTGTCGACATGGGGAAATTTTATGTTACACCAGTATAATTTAGGTGGATGCTGATTGTTGTGTAGAGTGCCTTTTTTCAATATAGCTTAAACTTCCTAAGCGATAAGCTAAACCACAGAAAAGGTCCCTCTTAAACCAGAATAAGAGCATCCACATGGGGGCGATACTTGTATAACTGTAGCAGTTTAAATTCACACCTAATGCTATACTGAAATAATTTCCCACATAGACAAAGCCTCATGCTCTTAGTATTTTTTCATTGTATGTGTATATACACACACCACATATATCACATAGCAGCAATTAAAATATATAATCCCCCCAAAGATGCTAATTTAAACAATCCTGCATGCATTGAATGACTTAGCAGACCTTACAGAGGTGTTATGAAAACTGAGTTTCATAACACTTTTGTGGTTTTAAAAGGCAAGATGAAATGGATGTGAAGCATATCCAGTCCTTGCAGTTTTGAAGACAACATTGAAAACATGTAAGAGCAAAATGATGTAGTGTTGCTTTTCTGAATCTGCAGGCATCCTGAAAGAAAAACTCGGAGGGTGAACTACCTCAGTTATCTCAGTGGGTGTTACACCTCTTATAATCACTTATAGATTTCAGCATCAGTTAAACTGTTTCATAGGTAAAAGTTTCAACAGAAACTTCTAGTTAAAGTACTTATTCCAGGACTCCAAACTACTTTCCTAGGTGCCAAACTGTTTTGTGTCTCAACTAGCTGCAAAAGCCACCAGCTTCCCCAGCCAACTTCTACAGTACAGATATGCATTGTCAATATAAAAATCTGAATTTATGGGACAGTATAAAATGAGTTCATCAGGCACTAGGGTACTGATTGTACCAACTCATCATATTTACTAGCATTTTTAAGTCAAGCTGCCAAAATTTTTTCCAGTCTGCAGAATCCAGGCTCACAATTTAGATTTAGCTTGCAGTAGACTATGAACAGTCTAGCTATACAAGTGAAAGGCATTTACTATTTAGTACATTACATCCAACCACAACAGTGGATTGCATATTGATTTATGTAGTGCTACAAACACACACAGCACTTTAGTAGCACCAAGATTGGACCCTGTGATTGTAAAGTCAGATTTTTTACTGTTGATTTCTTTGGGATTAGGATTTTAGCCCATATAGACACATTCCTTGCCCCGACTAATTTGTGATCTGAAACGAAGAGGGCACTGGACTACCTATCTGGAGATAGTGTGGGGATTATTGAGAAGTAAGGAGGGATTATATTTGAAGAAATGGAGGCTAAAGGATTGGAAGGACAAAAGTATTTGCAAAGTATGACCCTGCCTACTCCAGGTGCAGAGGGCAGCGTATCAAAAGGCACAATGTCAAGAATGCGGAAAGGAGACAGATGAATAGCAGGCAGAGACATGGTAGTCCCTTGTTGGTCATGACAAGGAGCCTGAATACGAAGTGACCTCAGACAGGATGTCAGTGGAAGTACCCACTGACGGGTAATGTTTGTAGAGCAGGAACGATAACTTCAGCTCTAGTATTTTTTTAAGAGATGTGAACCAGGAAGCAGGGTGGCCAGACAGGTTATGGTAGTTAAAGTGAGATGACCAAGGGCTGGCCTACACGGGGGGGGGGGGGGAAAATCAATCCAAGATACGCAAGTCGAAGTATCTTGGATCGAATTACCTGGGGTCCAGACAGTGCGGGATCGATGGCCACGGCTCCCCCATCGATTGCGCTACCGCTGCTCGCTCTGGTGGAGTTCCGGAGTCGACGGTGAGCGCTTTCGGGGATCGATATATCGCGTCTTAACGAGACGCGATATATGGATCCTGGATAAATCGATTGCTACCCGCCAATACGGCGGATAGTGAAGACGAACTCCAAGTCAGGGCAGATGAGCCAAAACAATGACCGCGAAACACTTAAGATCAGTGACTGAGGCCAAGTTACAAGAATTAAAACAAGAAAAATGTGAGGTCAGAATACTGCATTTTAATAGAATTCTTGCACTGACGCAGAGTTTAAAGTACATAATGTCTTTACAAGAGGCACTTACATTTGAAATTGCCCCTTCAAGCTTAGCTTTGTTTACTATCTAGCATTTGAAATAGAATTGTAAATGCAGTTTCAAACAGACCCGGACTTGTATAATACATGCTAATAACTACAGAATAATGTGGCCTGTGATCTTTATTTGTAATACAAGTAATCATACCAGGAAAGGTTTTTTTAGCTCTGCTCTATGATATTTAAATGACTGTTTTTAACCATCCATAGATGCAGCAGTCTATTAGGAAAATATGAGTTAAGTAAATATGGTGTATTTATATTTCCCCCCTACAGATTACAAAGATCATCTTTTTGATAGTGGTTACTATTTAAAAGCTGGCAACTGAATGATGGCAAAGGTCACTTTAGAGAAAATCCATATTTCAGTGGGTCCTCCTCTTCAACAACAAAGGTTGCTGTTCCAGTATAAAAGGCTTCTCCTGAGACTTCTACTACAACAGCGTTATAGTCACCACACTTTGCTTCCTGAGAAGAGAAAAGGTTTAGATTTAAATTGAATTGGCATTTAAGGGGTTCTTCCCCGTTTACAAGAGAGTATTACTACATAGTACAGTAACTCCTCACTTAACGTCGTCCTGGTTAATGTTGTTTTGTTGCTGATCAATTAGAGAACATGCTAGTTTAAAGTTGTGCAATGCTCCCTTATAACGTTGTTTGGCAGCTGCCTGTTTTGTTCACTGCTTGCAGGAAGAGCAGCCCATTGGAGTGAGCTGGTGAGGGCTTGGAACCAGGGTGGACCGGTAGCCCCCCCATCAGCTCCCCTAAGTTCCCTGTGCGCAGCCGCCCAGCAGGCTATCAATTGCTGGGCAGTTCAGCTGTCCTTCCCCACACTGCCGTATGCTGCTCCTGCCCTCTGCCTTGGAGCTGCTCCAGGGAGCCTCCTGCTTGCTGTGCTGGGGGGGGGGGGGAGAAGGGAAGAAGAGGGGTGCTAATGTCAGGGTGTCCCTGTCCCCCCCGCTCCTGAACCCCATTTCCATAGAACGGGGGCGGGGGGGGAGAAGACTCAACAGGGCTCAGGATGAGGGAGCTTGCTGGCAGCAGCTGCTGTCTCAACTTGCTGATCTACTTAAAAAGGCAATGTACTTAGAGTGGGGTCAGCATACTTAAAAGGGGCAATGCGCATCTCTCTCTCTCACACACCGTGTGCATCTCTGTCTGTCTCTCTCTCTCATACACACACACAGTGTGCGTCTCTGTCTCTCTCTGCCATGCTGTCTCCCCTCCCTCCATTCGTGCTGCCTTGTAGAGTGTGAGGCTACATTAACAGCAATGTGTTGAGCCTCAAGGGCTCAGCCAAGCGCTAGTTCATCATTTAGCAGTAAGGCATTCCCCTGAGAAATAGCCCATCCTCTTCCACCCTCTGACTCCACCACCTCAACCAAGCTTCACAATCATCATTGCTGTGTACAGTATTAAATTGTTTGTTTACAACTTAGTGTCTTTCGGCGAAAAAAATTTCACCAAAAGACTTAACCCCACCCCCCATTATTTACATCAATTCTTATGAGGAAATTGGATTCACTTAACATCATTTTGCTTAAAGTTGCATTTTTCAGGAACATAACTACAACGTTAAGCAAGGAGTTACTGTAGGTAGCTAAGTACAATAAAATTGTGTCACCAATGTCCATTGCTTCTCTGGGTGTCCCTCAGCTCTGACCAACTGCAGTTACAGTCAGAGGGCTTTTGTTTACTTACAGAGTCACGTGCAGATATAACCCACCTACACTGGGGGTCAGAGGTCAGCATAGCTACATCAGTCAGGAGTGTGTTTTTTCACACCTCTGACTGACTAGCTAGGTCAACCTATCTTTTAAGAGTAGACCAGGCCTTACTGAGCCACACCTTGATAATGGCTTCTATTTGGCACAGGCCAACCTAGCTTGGACTGAGCCATCGGCTAACAAGCAAGAAGGGTATAGCTGCTGTATAAAAGACTTGAACTAGTAGCCTATGACGACTTCTGCTGGGAGCTCCAGGAAGTCAAGGCAAGTGAAGGAAAGGCTCCACTATTGCTGCAGGAACAGAAATCACAGTTTAAGGCTGCGTCTACACCAGAGACCTCACAGCGGCACCCATGCAGCTGCGTTGCTGTAAGATCTCTCGTGTAGCCGCTCTATGACGACAGGAGAGAGCGTTCCCGTTGACATAATTAAACCACCCCAACGAGCGGCGGTAGGAGAAGCTCTCCCACCGACACAGCGCTGTGCACACCACCACTTATGCTGGCAAAACTTATGTTGCTCAGGTGTGTGTTTTCTTCAGCCCCCTGAACGACATAAGTTTTACCAACATAGGTAGTAGTGTAGACATGGCCTAAGACCATGGGGTTTGCTTACTGGTTTTGTTAATCAATAGTTTTGCACTTTAGATGGAACAGCAGTTACCTTTGGCAGGTCTGCCCCAGACATATGGCTCCTTCCTTTTCCTAGTCCAATAGCTGTTGGGAAAATGTTTCTGATATTCACGAGCTTCCCCATCCCAAGTACCATCCCATTTGCCTCCTTCCAACGTATGCAGCCTCTTATGTCTCTCTTTAATTGTCACTCAGCTGAACCCAATCTTCTTTGGGAATCAGTCCCACCAGCCCACACTGCTGGTGCTCTTCACTCAACTCCTTCCAATTTGGAAATCTTTCAGCTGTAACCATATTAAAGCCATACAAATATTGCCCTCCTCTGATGAGAAGCCTTTGTATATACAGCGCAAAACTGCACTGTTCTTTTTCCCCCCGATTTTCACTTCAAGCTCATCTCTGATCTGGTGTTGGCTGTGACCCCCCAAATCTCTTTCAGCAGTGCCACTTCTTTGGTTTGTCACACTTCATGTCTGTTTTGGATTATTTCCCGCCCCCCATCTGTATTATTTTCTGCCTATGTTCCTAACTATTTTAGGTCTCTGAATTATTCATCCATCCTCAGCTCTTTCCAATTTTGTATCATCCGTGAATTTCATCACCATACTGTTTATTCCTTTCTGTATAGCCTATGATCACAATGGAAAGATGATCCAGAACACACTGCTCTCCTACACAAAATTTGTCAAGACTTGCAATCTCTGCTCAAAACAGGCCCAGGACTGAAACGATAGGGATACTACAGATCAGAAGTGACTACAGTGGCAGAACTGTTTGTAGATAGTTGCACTATGCCTGGTTTAAGCCTGTGCTGTTAGTTCCTCACTGGCATGAGCACAAAATTCACAAAAAACACCTTAAAAATACACAGAAAAGAAGAGGTTTGCTGCTTGCCTTCACGGCTTTTCCAGTGAACAAGGAACCAGTTGAGCTGCTTCTAAAGGTTCTGGTCTGATTCAGCTGGATGAGTCCCTTATGGTATTGTAAGGCAATGCGCGCAGTTACACCTGAGCCTGTAGGACTTCTGTCGACCTAATTTAAAAAAATAAAATGTTCCTTAGCTTATTTTTATCTTTTACTGTAAAAACATGAGACGCCCCCCCAATATTACAGTCCATATCATTACAGACATTAGCACTGCCTCGCTCTGGGGTTCTGCAAATAGACAGGGTGAGAGAAGCACAAAAGAAACTAAGTGGGTTCTGGTACTTTCAGACTGATTCTGTTTGGCAAAATACTAGGAGTGAGGGATCCTAGTTTGACAATATTCATAATTACTACTCAAGTATTAAAACTTCATGTTACTTTCAGGTCTGTAACACTTGCAGATAATCACTAACAGAATCTAGAACAACTAAATTCTCTCGATTGGTATTCTCTGGATCAGTGCTTGTCAAAGTCAGGCCGCCGCTTGTTCAGGGAAAGCCCCTGGCATGCACGCCCTTCCTGCAGCCCCCATTGGCCTGGAGTGGCGAACCGCGGCCAGTGGGAGCTGCGATCGGCCGAACCTGCGGACATGGCAGGTAAACACACCGGCCCAGCCCGCCAGGGGCTTTCCCTGAACAAGTGGTGGCCCGACTTTGAGAAGCACTGCTCTGGATCATTCCCATGTGACAGTTGGGAGAGTCTTCTCTACTAAACTCATGTTTAATCCTTAGTGAAAGCCTCTCTCATGTTTGCAGAAGTATTTACCTGCTTTCATTCTATACTGAAATAGTTTACGGTTAAGGAACAGACGACACTTCAAAGACAATGCCTTTGCAGCACAGTGAGAGAAGCAGCAGCTCAATTTAACTCATTCTTAATAGACACACAGACCAGGTTTTACTTATCTTGTATCTCTTAAAGTAGCATGTTTTCATACCTGTGCATCTGCAAACACACAGATGTTGGTTGTTGGTTCATCACTAAATGCATCTTTTCCATCTGTTAATATAGTACCATAGAGGAAAGCAAGCTCTTCGTTGTCAGGGTGATGAAGTTTGAACTAGGAACAACACACAGAATGGATATACAGACATCTCCAACAATCAAATATTTTCAATTAAATTGCAGTAAGATTATTACAAGATGACAGAGCTGGGCACACACAAGTATAAATGTATCATCCTAACTACTCTTGGGCACATTTATTTCTACCCCACAGGTAACAAACTGATGCTCATTAGTGAGGACAGCAACTTCTTTATTTTGTGTTCACTTAAGACTACAGACATTGTGGAATTTCCTGTGCGCAACTCAAACTCTCAGCTATTTCTTCAAGACTTCACTTTTCAGGTCTAATATTTGCTTGACTACAAACCATCAGTGTGCTGTTGTTGCCTGGGGCTGTACAGCGACGTGTGTGGTGAGAGGGAGGTGGGACATGCATAAACACGACAGACATTTAAACAGTCTACAGTAGACATTCTCATGCTAGATATGGGCGCTCCTGAAGTAATTAAGAATACATAAATACAAAATTCAAACTAAAAATATGTGAATATTACACTTTTTAGTAAGATCAATCGTTCAGAAGGCAGTATAGTATAGTAGACTGGCAACAGCAACTCCAGAGTCCTCAGCCGTGGCTCTGAATTTGGATTAGGGCTGGTCTACACTAGAATGGCTACAGCAGGGCAGCTGTAGTGATGCAGCGGTGCCACTGTAGCTGCTAGTGAAGATACTCTATGCCAGCGGGAGACAGCTCTCCCGTTGGCATAATTACTCCACCTTCCCCAGCAGCGGTAGCTGTGTCGGCGGCTTTTCCATACCCCCAAGCGACTTCAGAATAATTTAAGTAAGTGCAAGTGTGTACAAGCCCTAACTAAACTGTAAAACTACAGAACCAGGGCAAGAACAGTCACACCCACAAACACCTGAGAAAGTCTATTATGATATTTACTCTTTGTTGGAATGCTATACCTGGAATGTAAAACAATGTCATGAAGAGTCTCCTCTGTAAGAAAAACCCTGCATTACTACTACTTTGTCAGAAAAGCATTTGGGGTATGTTGGCATCCTGCTATACCTGTCTCTTTACTGCTTCTGTTACTGCACTTGCTGCATCTACAAGATCCTGAGTCTTTGAAGAACAAACATCTAATCCCAATCTCTCAGCACTGAGAAAGGCATAGAAAGCACCACCATATCCAATATCGACCACCACCTTCCCATGGCCAGGAACATCAACTTTCACATCTAAACAGAACAGGAGAGGGGGAAAAGCAAACAGAATGTGCATGAACATATATTGGTAACATTATCTCCCCCGCCCTCCCCCTGACCCCCCCCAACATGGGAAACCAAATTCTGTCCTAATTCACACCCCAGTGCAATGTTGCTGATTTTAATGCAACTGTTAGCATAGTAACAAGGATAATTTTGTGTAGCTCTTTGACATCAAAGGATAAAGAGAGGTAAGTGCTAAGTCTTATAAGAGCCTGATCCAACTTCCATTAAAGTCAATGGAAAAACTCTCCTGTTAAAATCCATGGGTCAGATTGGGTTCTAAATCAGGGAACAATTTGTCCTGGCTGCGCTGAATTTGTTTAACTATACAGACTGTACTTTCCAAACCAGAAGTATTAGATTTTTTAAAAACAATTTGTCTCATGCTTATTAATGCAAATTAATGCAATCAGATTCAATCAATTCAGCAGGATTCTAATAAACACAGTAGTGTAAGTCAACTTAATTACAGTGTCAGATTTACTTTCAAGTGAGATGTAAAGCTAGGTGCTAAAGCAAGAGAATGGCACAGGAAAGTCAAGGAACACAATGCTAGAAATCATGTCATGAGTTTCAATCATTAGAAAAATTAAAATATCCAAACCAAAAAAAAAAAACAAATGACAGTGAGTAGACTAGATTATTAGATGCAGATATAAAATGGGTACAAGGAGTCTTGGAAAGGAAAGGATGCTGGAGGGCAGAAAGCAGAACAGCTAAACGAATTAATGCAGTAACAAAATGAAAAGGCAAGGTGCAGGAGACCATCAGATTGAAGAGTGTGGGTGACTGCTAGTGTACTTACAGAAGCTGAATATGGTTATGCAATAGCGAAGACACAAATTTGGAATAGCATATCATCCTAAAATATTGCAGGTATTGCGAAGTCTCTAACCTATCCGAAGTTCTGCTCTTTTGTTACTTAATAAAGGTTCTCAGAAACATTAGGTAGCCCATCTGCAGAGAGCCCTACAAAGCAGAGTTCTTCATCCTCTCGACCTGGTCACCAATTTCAACATCAGGCAGATCAGATCCATAGTTAGGTCTATTCTTCTGTGGAGTCAAAAGTAGGTACAGACTTCATTAAACCCCCCGCTCCCCACCAAAACATTCACCTGCCTGTCCCCTTCCCACCCTTAATGAGTGGCGTGTACAAAGTTAAAAACAAATCATTCCTCTGTTTTCTGGCGTGATCTCAGTAAGTGGTATCTCCTTAACTACCCTGCAGTTCGAGAGACTGAAACCGTGGACAAGCTTCCTCCTTCAAACTATTGATGTTTACACGGTCTTAAACTACCCAATCTGATTCCCACAAATAAGGATGCACTGTGTTTTGCAGGATTGGAGGCTGCCAGCCCAATATGGTCTCAGGGGCAGCAACATGCCGCTACGCTCCTTTCTGCAGAAAGTCTGTTGGCTGCCAGAGCCGTGCCACGCCCTTTGACACGGACACCTGCTTCCAAAGTCAAGGGGCCAGTGCACATTCTTGAAGCTGGCTGCATCAGAACCAAAGCACCCAGAACGCTCCTCCGTAGGCGCTGGAACGAAGGATGCAGCAGCACCCCCAGCCTGAAATGGTTTCCATCGTATACAGGGTTTACAATTTGGTTCAATGGCTCTCAGCAGCCCCACGACACCAATTGTTCCGGCACCCCTCTGCAGTGTGTGGAAAGGAACTAGGTGAGGGCACGTGGGTCCCACACCCCTCACTGACCAAGGTGTGGAGCTACCTCACAAATTCACCCCCACAGCCCAGGGCAGACGTGGGGAAAGCGAGAGCAGGTTTAGTGGTGTTAGTCATGCACACAGTCAATCATTTTCACCCGTGGGGGCCGTACAGTCTGGGGGGGGGGAGAACAGGGGCACCCTTTCCCACGGCTCCAGGGGATGCGGGTCCCACAGAAGGGGGCTCGGGGATCACACGGACAAGGGGCGCCCCCACACCATTATTGGGGGGCTCACAGACGGGGGGCCAGGCTCTCAGAGGTGCCACACAGGCGGGGGTCGCCCAGAGGGGGGCGCCCCACCCCCCGGGACAGGCACCGGGGGTCTCCCCCCGGCAGTGTCTGGGCTCCCAGGCAGGCGGGCGCCGGCCGGTACCTGCGGCGGCGGCGAAGGCGGGCACGCTGTGGAAGCGGACGCGGCTGCCGCTGCGCTGCCCGTCCCAGGGCACGAAGGCGGTGACGGGCCCGCAGGGGCAGTGGATGGTGACCGCGGTCTCGGGGCGGCGCGGCGCCGGCACCAGGCCGCCGTCCAGGGCGAAGCGGCCCAGCGCCAGCACGGCGTGGCCGCACATGGTGCTGTAGCCCTGGCCGTGCAGGAAGAGCGCGCCCAGCTGGGCGGCCGGCAGCTCGCTGGGCACCAGCACCGCCGCGTACATGTCGCGGTGCCCGCGCGGCTCGTGCACCAGCAGCCGCCGCACGTGGTCCAGCGCCGCGCCCATGTGGCGCCGCCGGGCCAGCAGCGTGGGGCCCGCGGGGCCCGGCTCCAGCCCGCCCGGCACGATGCGCAGCGGCTCCCCGCCCGTGTGCATGTCCACCACGCGCACCGCCGGCCGCGCGCCGGGAGGCAGCCAGCCGGGCGCCGCCATCGCCGCTCGCGCCACCCCACGCGGGGGCAGAAACAATGGAGCTGATCGGGTCGAGGCTGGCCACGCCCAAATGAGCGGCGTCATCGTGACGTCATCAACTAAAGGGATGGGGCTTGCGCGGTAACCACGCCCATAAGGGGGGGGGTGCCACAAAGCGGGTCCCCATTGGGGAGCGCCGGGGAAACCCCGCCCAACCGGGCGAGAGGCCGCAAGCGGCTCCGCCTTCAGGTAGGCGGGGCTATCCTGGCCGCACCCACAAGCGGGATGGGGGATGTGAAACCCTGCCCCCAATAGGGGCGGAGTCAGACAGCTGTTGCCACATTGGGGAGACGGAAGAGGGAAGTGACGCACACGGATGGGGCGGAGTCTCGCCTCTCCCCGCCCCGGGAACCCGGAAGCGGTTGTTGCTGCGCTAGGGGAAGGGTCCTGGGGGACTTGGCCCTGCTGCGGCAAGATGAGTGAGCGCAGCCCCGCGGGGTGACCGGGACGGGGACGGGCCCCTCGCCCGCGTTAGGAGGGTCTATTCCGCCCCGTTCCTCTCCGGGCAGGCCCCGTGGGGGCGGGGATCCCTGTCCCGGGGTCAAGGCAGCCTGTCCCTGGAGCTGAGGGAGAAGGGAGTGGAGGGGGTTTGCCTCGGAGCTGGAGGGGGGGAGGGTGTGTGTGTGGGGGGGATGCCTCGGAGCTGGGGGGGGGGGGGGGGGGGGGGGGGGGGGGGGGATGCCCCGGAGGGGGGGGGGGAAGGGTGGCGGTGCCCAGTTTGCTGCTGACTCCCAGTCCAGCACCCTCTGCTACATCCTGCTCTGCAACACGTTCCCTGTGTGAGAGAAGCAGCCAAAGGGCCCCGCTTCTGCCCAGAGGACAACAAATGTGGACACCTATGCAGAACCCCACTTAAGTCAGGGTCTGACTTTGGTCACGGAGTCCAGGTGTGTGGTTCTCCTTGCAGGATTGGGACCAAAGAGATTAGTTTGAGCCTAGAACTCCATTTCTTAAGTACAGTGCAACAAACTGTTTCACTTGCTTTGTTGTTGCATCTCCAGTAACGTGATGTACTACACTGTTGCAACTCTTGTATTTTTTAAAAGCTGTAGATATCCAACCAGCCTGCCTTGGATTGTATTGTGGGAGAACGGTACAATATATAAATGCGTCAACTGAAATCTATGGCGACTGTGGGGTAAGTGTCGAATTCCGACAGACTCTTGAGTTTGTGAAAGAGATCTAGGGCCTGATCTTGGCCTGTGATGTGTTGTCTTCTGTGTCACATGCAAATGAGGCATACATTGTCTAAACCATCTGTAGGGGAGTCCTATGATAGGGGAATTCCAAGGTGGCATATCAGGTAGTATGCCTTTCCCATGCCTTCCTTGTTTCCCTTGAGATTGGAGGGTGCTGAGGGAGGGAAGCTGGGGCGCATTGTGCTCTGGCAGTCCCTGGTTGGGAATTTCCAAGTCTGATGCTGATGCTCTAAGTTGTATGAGGCTGGAATCTGGAGCACGAAGGTCGTGTTCAATTAAGGCTGCATTAGATGGTGATGATTATATTTCTGTAGTGCGTAGGAGTCTTAGTCATGGCCCAGGACCCATTGTGCTAGGCGCTGAACAAACCAGACCAAAAAGACAGTTACTGCCTCAAAGAGCTTACCATCTTAGTATAAGTAAGGCTAAGATTTTTATCACGGTTATTTTTAGTAAATGTCACAAACAGGTCACTGCCGAACATTTCACGGAGCCCGTGACCTGTCTGTTACTTTACTAAAAATAACCAGGGGGCAGGGCTAGGTAGGGGGGAGGACTGACAGGCCGAGTCCCCCGTCATGGCAGGGAGCACAGCCCTTGCTCCAGGAGCCACAGTGGGGGACACAGCCCCCACTCCAGAGCTGGCTGCAGCTGCAGGACAGCGAAGCGTGGCCCCGACTGCAGCCCCCGCCGCAGCCTCCGTTGGGCCCGGGATGCCGCAGGGCTGGGGCGCGCAGCCCCATCTGTAGCCTCCGTCGAGCCTGGGACGCCATGGGGCTAGGGCACATGGCCCTGGCAGAAGCCGCGGGGTTGGGGCTGCAGGGTCCTGGTTCCAGCCAGCCCCAGTTGCAGGGCAGGGGCACACAGTCCTGCCTTCTCCTCAAGCCCTAGCAGTCACGGAGGTCTGGTAAAGTCACAGAATCTGTGACCTCTGTGACTAAATCGTAGCCTTAAGTATAAGACAAGCGACAACAGATAGATACAAACAGACGGGAGTGCAAGGAAACGGAGGCAGCATTGATCAGCATGCTAATCAACGGTCTTAGCACACCAAGTGGCCTGACTTTTGTCAAGCTTTTTATAGGTATCCCAGTAAAGGAGGGATTTGAAGGAAGATGTTTACAGGGAGCTCCTAAGCATAAGGGGCAGCATGGGAGGAAGCACGTAGATGTTTGTTTGAAGATTTACCAAGTTGACAATGGAGGCTGGCACCTTAGGGCCATCAGAGGAGGGAGGTGACATCTCAATAGCGAATAAGAGCTGGGGATAGGCTGTGAAGGGCCTTGAAACAGCAAGTAGATTATGTTTGATGTGATAGAGAAGGGGGAACCAAGGAAGAGATGCAAAGAGAGGGATGACATAGTCAGATGACATGCTTGGGCAATAATCTTAGTGGCAGCAGCAGCGTTCTGAATGGGTATAAGACTTTGTGTCAAGACAAGAGAAAAAGATATTGCAGGAATCAAGACACGAGATGACGGGGACCAGCGTTCTAATCATGTGAATGGATGGAAAGGGCCATGTCTTAGAGATGTTATATTGGAAAAAAATCAGCAAGCTTGAGGCGCAGCCTCGCTGTGAAGACCTAGAGGAGTGGTTCCCAAACTTTTTACTAAGGTGACCCACCAAATGCATTTTGTCTTTTTTTTTTTGTGACCCACCCAGGGTCCAAATTCATGGAAGGAATGAGCCAAAAATCATTTGCCAATGTCCTTCTCCTCCTCCTTGCCCCGCTGAGGGGGCACTTTCCACCCCACTACTGCAACCCTAACACTGGTGCAGAGGGGAGGCCCCAGAGTGGGGAACGGAGGGACGTTGGAGAGAGAGCCTGCTCTGCACTCACCCTACAGTGGTGGCTCCTGTCCAGCGGAGTTGGGCCTGGGTCCCTGCTCTGGGCGTTTACAGCCTAGTGCACGGGATTGCAATGGCACTCAGGTTTAGCTTGGCTGCCCCTTCAAGCCTGAGTGGTGCTGCAACAAGGTCGCAATGCCTGGAACAGGCCCAGACTCTGTGGGACAGGAGCCACCACTGCGAGATGAGTGAGGTGTGGGCTCGTTCTTCAGCTCTCCTCCCTGCATGGTGCCTGGGACCCACTGATGGGTTGGGACCCACTGTTTGGGAAACATTGACCTAGACAGAGGTCTGAGTCAAAGATGACATCCAGGTTATGGGCTTGAGTGCCAGGTGTGATGGTGGCATTTTCCCCAGTGATCGAGAAGGTCGGTTGGGGAAGCTTGGAGGAGAAGATTAAGAGCTCTGTTATAGCCATGTTGAGCTTGATGGCTAGACATCTACAAGGAGATGTCAGAGACAGGCTGAGATTTTAGTTTGGACAGGAATCCGGTCTGGAGTGGAGACAGAGTGGAGAGGTAGATCTGTGAGTCATCAGTATAGAGATGGTAGTTGAATTTGTGTTTGCTGTTAAGATTACCCAGAGATAAGGCAACGAGAGAGAAGAAAAGGGACCAAGGACAGAGCTCTGTGGAACCACCTCCCCCCTCCCAAAGCAGGAGGGAGGAGGAGGAGGATACTCTGAAGGAGCCAGTAGAAAGGTCGGAGGAGAACCAGGAGAGTAGAGTCATGGATACCAGGGAAGGACAAGATTTCAAGAGGAGCACAGTCGACTAAGTGACTGACTGGTCAAGGAGGATGAGTACTGGTTTTGAGCTTTAAGGAAGAGGTCATTAGGGACTTTGGCGAGAGCAATTTCAATGGAGTGCAAGGGATGGTAGCTAGATTGGAGAGGGTCTAAAATGGAATTGGAGGAGGAGAACTCCAGACAATGATGGTAAACAGTGCATGCAATGAGCTTAGAGATGAAAGGGAGATGGGGCAGTAGTTAATGAGACAAGCGGGGTTAAAGATGGGTGGGATTTTATAGGATGCGAGAGAGTAAAGCTTGTTTGTACTTTGAGGGGAACAAGCCAGATGAGAGTGGGAGTAAGGGATGGAATGAGAGTGGAAGTAAGGGATGGAATGAGAGTGGGACGAGTTTGCTCAGGGGATGGGAACATTTAGCAAGCGGAGGGCTGAAGGATTGAACCTCCTTTAATTAGGTAAATTTGTCAGCCCACGCACACCCTTTAACTAGACTCCCAACAAAACAAACGATCAGTTATTGGGTTTTCAGGCACTTGTAAATACAGTTTTGTGGTGCTGTTTTTGTAGGTTTGTCCTAGAGGACAGCGAACAGATGGGGATAAAATCTGTCGGGAGTGTACAGGATATCCAGGGCATTATGACTGGCTATACCTTGGCTTTATGGCCATGCTTCCTTTGATTTTGCACTGGTTCTTCATTGAATGGTATTCAGGGAAAAAGAGGTTAGTAATCTTTTTATTTAATTTAAAAACAAAAAGGCCCACCATAAATGTGTATCATTCATATGAGAAGGCAAATCGAGTTGTGCTAAAGGAGTCATGCTATTGGGCAGACAGATACACAGGCTGCTAATCTTCTGGGAACACCATGTGCTTATGGATTTATTAATTTTCATCTTAGATCTGCAATAATTACTGGGGTACAGTTCCTCCCAGATGGTCACAGTGCCCAGGAAATGCCCTATACCCAACTACTTGTTTTAAATGCATTGAAGGAATCTTCACTGGTGTAGGAGGGAACACTCACCTATGGCAGATTTTGGCCTAAAGAGTATTACTAGACCTTTATAACCTCTGACAGGAAGGGTACGTCCAGACTACCCACTGTATCGGCGGGTAGCGATCGATTTATCGGGGATCGATATATCGCGTCTTGTTAAGATGTGATATATCGATCCCCGAACACGCTCCCCGTCAACTCCGGAACTCCACCGGAGCGAGCGGCGGTAGCGGAGTCGATGGGGGAGCCGCGGCCGTCGATCCCGCGCCGTGAGGACCGGAGGTAAGTCGGAATAAGATATGTCGACTTCAGCTACGGTATTCCTGTAGCTGAAGTTGCGTATCTTACATCGACACCCCCCCCTAGTGTAGACCAGGCTGAAGATACTTAGATGATAATACTACAGTAAAGGTTATGTCAGCATGATAGGTTTTGAATGCACTTCATAACAGACTTATTAAAGAACATGGCTGTGTCCTGTAATTTCATGCTGTATAAATATTTTACAAATGACGCCTGTACAAAGTGGTGTGAAAACAGTATACTAAACACTTAATGTTTCATACTATAAACTCTCAACCCACTAAAATGTCATTTTAACATGAGCTTTCAGCTCCAGTGAGTTTCATGCATCTGATTTAAAATGTTTGCCCTTTTATTTAAAAAACATATGTAGCAAGTCACTATGAAAATGAAAACCACCATTTATAAAGAATAGGTAACTTGGAAATAAATGCCTTGGAGATATCCAGAGTGGTGCTTAGTTCTCACTTTGCCAGTCAATTAGGCACAGGGCTTTATAATGTGGCAATACTTAATAGTTTAGTTTTGCTGAACAAAAAATATTCTTTCCGTGTTGTAGGAAGTTGTATAACTCTCACCTGCCTTGCATATTTGATCTTAGTTTTTGCTAGACTAAATGTGGTGTGAATGTTAGTTTCAGAAGTTTAGATGAAGTACAACTGCACTTGTGCACTAAATAGTGTGACTCAGATAAATAAGATTATTATTTTCAGTGTAATCCTAGAATATTAGGGTTGGAAGGGACCTCAGGAGGTCATTTAGTCCAACCCCCTGCTCAAAGCAGGACCAATCGCCAACTAAATCATCCCTTGTCAAGCCTGACCTTAAAAACCTCTAAGGATGGAGATTCCACCACCTCCCTAGGTAACCCATTCCTGTGCTTCACCACCCTCCTAGTGAAAAAGTTTTTCCTAATATCCAATATCATGCTTGCTTCAATCTTCATGTTGTAATAACTGTGGCTTTGGCCTATCTTTCATAGTGAATTTAAATACAATAGACAGTTTAGAATTGAAAGAATCTTTATACTTCACTCAGCATTTGATATTTTTTTTCCCCTGTCAATAATCAAGTGGTATTAAAGAACCTTTTTCTTCCTCCCTCTACAGTTCCAGTGCACTGTTTCAGCATCTTACTGCCTTATTCGAATGCAGTGTTGCAGCAATAGTTACACTGCTTGTGAGTGATCCAGTAGGTTTTCTGTATATCCGTTCTTGCAAGGTAGTGATGCTTTCTGACTGGTATACAATGCTTTACAACCCAAGTCCTGATTACATTACAACTGTACACTGTACTCATGAAGCTGTCTATCCTCTGTGAGTATAAAGTCAGAGTATTTTTTATAAGTGCTATTTCACCATATGTATTTCAGGAATTTATAAAATGTTGGGTTAGGTGCATTTAACCCTGAAATGTGGTCGTATTCTCCTAAGTTAGTACTTCTTGTAAGAAAGGAAATCTGCTTGCCAAAACGTACTTCATGTGCCCTGGATTCAGGAGCGCATTCCTATCCAGAGAAGCACTTAAGCACATGCTTAACCGTAAGCATGTGCTCAAGTGCTGTCTTGAATTGGGGGCTGTGTTTATATGGCACTTTAAAAATGGAGCGTTGTAAGTGCTCATTAATTCTTTTATTGGCCCTTGTGTGAGAAATGGAAGGTCCTAGTGGTAGTCTAGACTTCAGTTTATTTGTGAATTTGCTTGTCTAACAGCAGCTTATACTAATTATGGGTGAACAGTAATAATTTTGCCAGGTATTGGTAGAAATGCATACTTTAAATTCTAAAGTTAGTATAGCTTTCAGCCAGAGGTAGAGATAGAAAAGCTTTACACTGAGTGCTGTTCTAGATGAAATGAGGATAGATCAAGGAGGTCAGCTTAATCTAACCTTAGTCTGAAATGTAGCCATATGCCACTAATTGAAGGGAAAAAAAATCAGAACATTCACAACCCTTCACAAACACTAAGTCAATCTTTCAGCTGGTAGAGTGCATCAATTTTCCTTTCTTCTGCTTATAATGTTGATTTTTCACAACTATTTAAATGACTGCGACTTCTTTAGAAATTCCTCTTTGAAGGTGCAGAATGTAAAAGGGCTTATCTAACCGAGACCAGTGGGCTATCAAAAGCCCTTTGAAGTCTTGTGACTCACTGAGCTTTCTTTTTTGTGCCGCTTCTTTAAAGCACCAGCATAGTGAATCATAATAAACCAGCAAGCCAACAATCTCTCGGACTGTCGCTTTACTGGCAGCGTTTTTGCACATTGCAGCATGCTGGCTCTTTGGGGGAAATTCTACATATGTCCTAGGTAGTTTCACAAAGAACTCAAGTAATCTTACAATGGAGAGTAGCAACCTGTCCCTTTTAACATCTCATAAATGAGTGTCACAACAAGCAGCCACGCAAGGGAGACTGTTCATGAGGGTTTAGGAGTACAGAGAATCTGTAACAGTGAACTTCGATATATCTTCATTACACTTCAGGATAGAGAATTAAGGAACACCTATAGATTTGGGTAACTTTTCAGAACATGTTGCTTTCACTGCCCTTGGGAGGCGACGTGGTCTAGAGAGTCAGGAAACCTGCACTTTGCTCCCACCTCTGTCACTGCCTTGTGGTGTGACCTGTGGCAAGTCAGCTGAGCTCTCTGTGCCTCTGTTTTCCCCTCCCACCCTCTGTGTAGATTGTAAGCTCTCGTCTGTGTGTGAATGTGTATAGTGCCTAACGCAAGGCATCCTAGGTCTGTTAGAGCCTGTAGTTACTACTGCAATGCAAATAGTAAGTATTTTTTCCTTTACAGATACACCATTGTATTTATATACTATGCCTTCTGTCTGGTGTTGATGATGCTGCTCCGACCTCTTCTGGTTAAGAAGATTGCCTGTGGGTTAGGAAAGTCAGATCGATTTAAAAGTATTTATGCAGCACTTTACTTCTTCCCTATTCTAACTGTACTTCAAGCAGTTGGAGGAGGCCTGCTCTGTAAGTGTGTGTGTTTTTTTTTTTTTTTTTTTTTTTTTTTTTTTTTTTTTTTTTTTTTTTTAAATGTATGTCCTTAACAAAAACAACACCTTGCTCAGTGGACAAAGTATGTCCTTTTTTGCTTTGCTATGCGTAAGGCTATTGCGTTAAATGTATAAAGAAACATTCATCAAAATTGCCTTTATTATTCAAATATCCACCTCCGGTGATAGTATAAAATTAATTACTCCACATAGCCATCTATTACATGAAGAAGCCTGCCCCACTCCCCCTCCACCCACACACACTTCTTGGGAAAACACTGACAAATCATGGAGCTGGTGTTGTAAATCAAAAGTAGGGTTCCTTAGCCAATCAACTCAGAGCTGCCTTAGCAGAGCATGGCAGTGCGTTAAGTGTACTGTCCGTCTAGCTAAGATACCTATTTGCCTGCCTACATACTGGTTTAAAACCACAGATGACTTTCAGACCTCCCCAAAGCAGCATTGGCCTCGCTCCCTAGATAGTAGGAATGCTGTTCCAAGCTTCATTGCAGTTCTGTACATTTAGCCTTCCAGAAAGAAATATTTTAAATAAAAGGCAAGAATTAGCAAATGCTGAGGAATGCATTTGGAAAGCAGTGACAATGGGAGTCTAGAGAACACACAAACGCAGTCAGCAGCTCAAGAGAAAATTATTGTTGTCCTAAATTATTCTAAAAGCTGCTTGCCTGTGCCAATAGAAGAATTCAGAGCCTGGTTGTCAGATGCACTCAATGTATCTGAAAATCAAACCCTCATTCACTTACAGCCAAATTGAGCGCTCTTGTGAAACCTGTAGACAGCCACAGGGGAAGAGATCAGGGAAGCTGAGGACTGCCTCAAACTTGCTTACTGTATTCCTCTTTTTTAAGGGGATGTGAAGAGGGGGTTTGTGGCTTCCAGACCTCGAGGAATCCATGAGGAGAGGCTGCCTCGTGTGCTGTTCCCTCCCTCCTGGGCACATGGCTCTGTGCCTTGCCTTTTACCCCTCAAAGAGGCAGGTGTGGACTGGAAGCTAATGCTGCATCTTAGTGGTATTAACTTAATGTATCTTTTCCAGCAGAAATACTTCTGGTTTCAGAAGGGGTGGAAGCAAACTGGAAAATTTAGCTAGTCTTAGCGCCCGCCCCCCGGCCCGTCCGAGTCCCAGCCTTGTGCTATAAGCACAATGTGTGGGCTCCTGTGTGAAGGGGCAGCATGTCACCATGCAGTCACTCAGCATGCAAGCTCCCGTTCCAGCTCTTCTGTCCACTTTTCTATTCACATTTGTGCTTTAGCTGTGGAGGGGGGAGCTAAAGGGCTATTAAATTTCAGTGATGTGTGTTAAAATGTACAGTAACTAATTAGAAATAGTATGAGAGAGGTCTGTTAAAGCATGAATGATGTGGAGAAAGTGAATAAGGAATTATTTACCCCTTCACGTAACACAAGAACCAGAAGTCACCCAATGAAATTAATAGGCAGCAGGTTTAAAACAAACAAAAGGAAGCATTTCTTCACACAGTTCACAGGCAACCTGTGGAACCTGTTGCCGGGGATGGGGTGAAGGTCAAAACTATAACTAGGTTTAAAAAAGAATTAGATAAATTCAGGGAGGATAGGTCCATTGAGGGGTGTTAGCCAACATGGTCAGGGACACAATCCCATGCTTTGGGTGTCTGTAAACCTCTGACTGCCAGAAGCTGGGACTAGACAACATAGGATGTATCACTCAATAAATTGCCCTGTTCCGACAGTGCCCAGTGCCAGATGCTTTCGAGAGAATGAACGGAAGGCAGGATACTGGGCTAGACGGATCATTAATCTGACCTAGTATGGCCATTAGAAATATGATCCTTTGGGCCTCAGAGGAGATGGATTTTGAAACCTCTAGACCAGTGATGCTCAAACTTCAGTGGTTCAGGAGTCAAATTAGTGATCAACATTCCCCAAAAGAGCCACAGTTGTGTGAATGACAGGGGAAATATTTAGTTTTTGGATATAAATTATTCTCACAGCAAATAAGTTGTTAACCTACTAAAAGCTTCCTAATTGGTTAATAATTAAACCGCACCGTGTTTTAATATCATGAACTGCAGGAGACACATTAGAGAGCCACTTGTGGCTCACGAGCCACAATATAAGTATTACTGCTCTAGAAGGTCAAAAAGTAAACTTCCATGCTTGTCTATCACTTATTCATACTGCAGTGCATGATGGTTAAATTTCAAACCCATGGTCTAAAGTAGGCTGGACTGATTCAGTGGAACAGTTACATACATAGCAGTAGTTAATGTCTTCTGCTGAAATGTACTTAATGTGATGGTGTGTTTTCCCTCCCCCTAATACATGCAATGTTTGCCTTTAGATTATGCATTCCCATATATTATATTGGTGTTATCTTTGGTTACCCTGGCTGTGTACATGTCTGCTTCTGAAGTAGAGGTAGGTAGAAATGTCTCTTCTGTTCTAGATTTTAAAATTTAATTTTGTCAGCAGAGGCTCAAGGGAGGCCTGAGAAGTAAGCTGAGGAACACTTGCTCATTGTTAATGCATTATCCGATATATCTGGCCAATGCTACAGTATCTTCTGGAATACTGACTTGAGTGGAGACTGCTAGCTTGCCTTTCCTCGTGTATTTGTCTGTACTCTTGTGCTTATTCTGGGAATAAGCTTTTTTCATTTTTGGCATATGAGTCCAGCTCAAGGAAACTAGCATGAACTGGTAGTCCTTGATGCAACTCCCTCTCCCAAGGAGGACTAGGGAAAGATCATAGAGCGTGACTAGAGTCAAATCATAATTCTCAAGCCCAATAGCCTCCCCCTGTACTGTGCACAACCTCTCACTTAAGTGTCAGATACAATGTAGGTGTGAAAATATTAACAACACTTTTTCTTTTACAAGTCTTTCAAGGATCTTCTTGTCAGGAAGAAAAGGCTTGTCGTTCTTTCTAGCCACTGGTTACTTCACGCCTATGGAATCATCTCTATTTCCAAACTGGAGAGACTTGGCCAGGATCTACCACTGTTGGCTTTGGTACCTGCACCTGCCCTCTTTTACTTACTTACTGCAAAGTACACTGAACCTTCACGCATCCTTTCAGAAGGAGCAAATGGACATTAAATGTAACTTGTGCCAACAGCCCAGTGAAACTGTCCCAGTAATATGGATTAAAGAATTTCAGTGCTTGTTATGCCCTTCAGCTCTTCTTAGACTAAAGTTGTCATTTCTGTACAAGACATTTTCTGGGTAAAACATCGTATAGAATCTAAGAGTAAGACTATGTAAACTTAGCTTCTCTAACTTCATGAAGGGCTTGTAAAAAATCAAAGTGGATAATGTCTTAATCTATATACATTTTTTACTATGTATAAATACTGGTGGCACATACCTTGTAATATAAGTTTTGTTGGTACCTTATTTATTTATTTCACAATGCCATATATTAGCATCTGTTTGAATAAAGTAGCAAAATAGAGCTGTGGTTTTCTGGTAAAGTGTCTGGCTTCTGTCACCCCCTCACTTGGAACTACAGTCTCCCTAAAAAATAAGAAGTTTGTGGAGAACACTGTGTCTAAAATTGCAGATGTAGTTATGTACTAGCATTTAACTCCCACTAGAACCCCCTCCCTTACCCCTGCTACAGCCTCCTATTAACCTGCAGACCAATACAATTTAGATCTTAAAACATGGGCGAGGAAATGTACAGAATGGTCAGAGCAGCATTGTTCTCCACAGTACATTTCTTACTGCATCTTTCAGTCTGGTTTGAGACATGCTGACTGTACAATCTTCCATCTGAAGACTATTTAAGAGTACTATCCCTTCCACTCAGGCAGTTTTCCCAATACGCTGCCTGTATACTCCTATGCAGGAATTGGTTCCCCCTTCTACCCAACAACTGGTGTTAGCAAACTGTCTGCCATAAAACATGTGATGGCCAAGCAATGAAGGCACCTGCATGGTGGAGACCTCTCCATGCCTTTCACCCTTGTTCAAAATTGTTGGGTTTTGGCACAATTAAATAATTGTCTGTTTGTTGGTTTTGCTTTGATGTACGTTCAATCACGCTCAAAGCTTAGGCCACTGCTAACATTGTAAAGGTGAGAAATGTGCTGGGTGGCAGCCAACCAGCCACTGACCTGCAGTAGTTAGAGCAGGGGGACTGTAGGCAATGATAGAAAGCTTGATGCTAGTGTAAGTCCCTAACACACACAAAGGGAGAAAGGGCAGAGAAAGAAATGGGGTTGCTGTCACTAAGGAGCAGTCCCTGTCCCATTAAGTGGATATGTTCATCTCTTCTCTAATGCTCTCCTAGTATTACTTTTACATGTAACACATGCTAGAATGGAGGTATTCACAAGAGGCATGACAGTATGAAACAGACAGAACCAGCATCCTACAACACTTAAATGATCATTAATGCACAAAGGGAAGTCACATGGTAACCAACATAGCCTTTAACTGCTTCAAATCTAAAAATATGAGCAGCCATTTCCCAAGGATATTTTGACCAGCCAACTCTTTGGGCAAGTTGACCAGTGACCTGGTTTTAAATCTTGAGCCTATGGAAGTAATTACAAAGAGGGCAGAGAAGGATAAAAATGTACTGATCAGGGTATACCCTGGTATTACAGTGAGTGTGTTTGTTTAATTAAGAGTCATAGTAGTATGTTGTTTGTTCTATTACCCAATTAGGCTGTGGGGAATGGGGGAGCAGCTTGAGAGCTTACCTCTCAAAGCAAAGCTGGTCTAGTCAAAGGAGACAATACTGTGGAACATGCGGATGACTCAGGGTATTTGTTTTGGACTCTACACCAGCTTACCTGCCTCCAGATGTCACTGTTCCTTGTTCAGATGCAAACTATGTAGTAGTCTCTCTTACTACAAGATTTAGGATTTTTGTCCTAATAACTTTGTCTAACTGGAAAATTAAATCCACTATTTCAAAAAGGACTTCTACAATGGTACACACGAAAAAACATTTGGGTGTGAAAACAGGCATTTGCTTAATGAGATTGGGTACACCTAGCTGTTTGCATACAAACATTCCCATTTTTTATGTACCCAAATCCATAAGGCACTTCTGAAAATATGGCCCTGATAGACAGATGCATTAAAATACCAACTCCCAGGGCTCGTATTGGAACAGACTTTTTTTTTTTTTAAATAAAAGTGTTCTTTGCACAGTCTTGTACCTGTATTTTCAGACTCAGTTACTGGGATTGCACATGCACTTTGGGTGACTGGGTTTCTGGACCAACTGTAATGTACATTTGCATGCACAGCTATGGTAATGACAAAAGAGCAATTGCATATGCATTTCTGTTCATGGACAGCGTGGCTCCAGGCTTAAAAGTTTGGCCCTAAGTTGTCAAAAAGAAATGTGAAAAGAAAACCCAAGTAGCACTAATGATAAGCATGTCATTGGATAAGAGTGGGGAATCTTATATATTAATCCTAAAATTTCTATTAGTCAGTAGACTGTTAAAAGCATAGCTTATTGTAAGTAAATGATGCCTAGGGATCATATATGGATACTTACCTTTTCCTTTTTACTCCACTATTCTATCCTTCAGAAACATCTGGAATTTAAATATAAAGTACATATTTTAGCAAGCTTTTCTCAGTATCTGCTCTCATTTGCACAAAAAAGTTAATTGCAGATTCTTAGTTTAAGATGGATGTAATTAAACAGATCCATTTTTGCCTGATCTTTGCAGTCCTTTTATGCAATGACTTTCCATTGACCTCAGTGAACGTTCCACACGTGAAATAATGGCAGCATCAGGCCTTAAGCTGAAGCAGAAATGTTCTTTTCCTTATAGATTTAACCCATCCCTTTCTCTAGTTTGCTGTCCAAGTATCAACATCCCAGTCACCTCAAAGGTGTATGAATACAATAATAACCTTTCTGCTTTAAAATCCTATCATCAAAAAAACAATGTACTTCTGTTACAAGAATATAGCCACTTGCATGCACATATCACAAACATTCCCAAGGATAGAACTTAGGACTTTTAGTATCCAAAGCATAAGCCTGTACTACTGGAGCTAAAATGAGCAGGTAGCAAGGTATTATGGGAGGTGGAGGGAACGGCCCTAAGAGGAGACATGTTTAGCCTCAGCTCCAGTGTATTATTATTTAAAATGTAAACAATAGAAGTTGCCCATACAAAACATTCTAGGCATCCTAACCATCAATTAAACTTACAGTGCCATAATGCTAATCATACAGCACCAGGCCAGGCAGCAGCTCTGATTTGTTAGCCTTCACATGTCCATTGTGGAAAAGCTAAAATGTGGTTCTGAAGAGAACAGTGAAGCTCTAAATATTTTCCACAGCTTCCTTACTGAATTAGCCTTTAGGAACAGGAAATTAAATGTACCATCATCGTCCAGGCTGTGCCATAAAATACGCATACTTTTCCTAATGAACACAATAGCTTTTCCACTGTGAATGTAAGGACTGGTCTACACTAGCGGGGGGGATCGATCTAAGATATGCAACTTCAGCTACGTGAATAACGTAGCTGAAGTCGAAGTATCTTAGATCGATTTACCTTGGGTCCTTACGGCGCGGGATCGACGGCCGTGGCTCCCCCGTCGACTCTGCTACCGCCTCTCACTCTGGTGGAGTTCCGGAGTCAACGGGGAGCGCGTTCGGGGATTGATGTATCGCATCTAGACGAGACGTGATACATCGATCCCCGATAGATCGATTACTACCTGCCGATCCGGCGGGTAGTGAAGACATACTGAAAGACCAGAACCTCGCTGGTGGAAACTGACGTAGCTCCATGGAGCTCATCAGTTTTTACCAGCTGAGGATCGGATGGAGTTTACTTCTGAAGTGTTATCACTGTTTATTCCTAGTGAACAAATTCACCATAATTCCATCAGGATACAAAGTAAAAGAAAAGGGATTGGTGTATCTTACTGGGTTCCGTGCTGGATTTACTTTCTAACAAAGAATCCAGTCCATCAAAGTTATTTTGTAGCCCTTTGTTAATACAATCAATCTTTTTCTCTCTCTGATGAAGTTTCATTACAAGATCTGCTATTGCAGCCAGGATTTCCTTCTCATTCTCCACAAATTCCTATAATGAGACAAAGTTGAAAAATCATTTTCTTGTAAAGACAAAGAAATCACAAAACATTAGGACCCTTTTGTTTTGCATTTCCTGACTTTTCATAGATTGTCCAAACACTAATGGTATAGCTCTGCTGGGTTGGCATACCCACTCCTGAGATCCAGAGCCAGCTCTTATGCAGATTTTTCATGAGTTTCCTATTGCAGGTTGAGTTTTAAAAAAAATTAAAGAAAGATGACAACCTTTAGGTATGTTTGAACCTAGGATGAGGGAAATGGAATCAGAACCAACGTAGGACAAAGAAATTTACAATAATTATTTTTATGCAGAGCTAGAAAATGTCTAATGTCCTGTATTCTACCCTGTGGCAGAGTACTGGTAGCGGAGTATTTACAGTGCCAGATCTTCTATTATTCTTTTTTGCATGGTAACCAAATTATTTTCAATGCTAAAAAATACCTTGTCAACAAATGTTGAAACCCACCTTTTGAATGCTACTGTCCTCTGACCATCCCTTCAGAAAAAGCTCTAAAATAAATTCAGTTTTAAAATGTTAGCAGACTGTCTGAGAAACAAACATTCTAAAATAGTCTTCCTTTTCAAATACTGGGAATATGATAATTTTTGTTTTTAAATAGCTGAACATTTCCTTTGATGACATGTTACTCACGATGAAGGACTGTCAGATCACTCAGAATTTTTATTGTTGTTGATTTGTGGTTTTCGGCTTCATGGTTCATTGTCAAAATATCCGCTTTCATCTGTGCATTGCACTGCAGAGAAAATCATTGCAGCTAAGTAAGTATTTGTGTTTGGTCTCTCCTTCCTGATCTCTTTAGCAATTTTTGTGACCTACAGATATACAGAGGGTGGTGTATTCCCCAGGACAAAACTCTTTCCATTGTTACACTTTTCCTCAACATCAGGTATCCATTTCATTTTCCAGAACAACCACATTCATGATAACCAAAATAAGTGAAATCTCAGGATCAGATCCTCAGCTCTAAACCAGTCAGTCAATGCAGCTGTGCTGATTTACACCCTGAGGCTCTGGCACTCACTCTTCACTCGCCGTTTAGTTTCTTTGTTGTACTTCAGGTACCAATAGCTGTTGTTGGAGTTGAAACTGATTTTCTTCTTTCTGTAGTTCCTTTGCTACATCATCAGCAGTAGAGGACATAGAACAAGGGTGGGCAAACTACAGCCCACAGGCCACATCCTGCCTGCCAGCTGATTTACTCTAGCCCTCGATCTCCCGCTGGGGAGTGGGACCTGTGGCTTGCACACACATGCTGCAGCTCCCGGAAACAGCAGCATGTCTCCTCTCGGGCTCCTATGCGTAGGGACAGCCAGGGGGCTCCGCAAGCTGCCCCTGCCCCAAGAGCCACCCTCGCAACTCCCATTGGCCGGGAACTGCAGCCAATGGGAGCTGCAGGGGCGGTGCCTGGGGACGGGGCAGCACGCAGAGCTGCCTGGTCACACTTCTGCATAGAAGCCGGAGGGGGAACATGCTGCTGCTTCCGGGAGCCGCTAGAGGTCAGTGCTGCTCAGAGTCTGCACCCCTGAGAGCCCTTCCTGTGCCCTCCTGCCCCAGCCCTGATCCCCCTCCCGCCCTCCAAACCCCTTGGTCCCAGCCCGGAGCACCCTCCTGCACCCCAAGCCTCTCATCCCCAGCCCCACCCCAGAGGCTGTACCCCCAGCTGGAGCCCTCACACCCCCTCGTGCCCCAATCTCCTGCCCCAGCCCGGAACCCCCTCCCGCACCCTGAACTCCTAATTTCTGGCCCCAGCCAGAGCCCTCAACCCCTCCTGCACCCCAAGCCCAATTTCGTGAACATTCATGGCCTGCCATACAATTTCCATACCCTGATGTCATGGGCCACCCATGACATAGATCAACCTGCATTTGGGTGTCAGAATGAACAGACCATCTTGAAATTGTTCCTATACTGAGCATCAAGGAGAGGGATAACTGTACTATGCTAAAAGGGCTTTCTTTCTGAAGAAGGCTTATGTTTATATCAGGGAAAATAAAGTATAAGGTCACATTTTCAAAGTGCCTCCTAAGTAGCATCTGTAATATTAGTGCATGCAAATACAGGCAACTGCACTTGTAAAACCAGGCTTCTGTGCATTCGAACAGGGGCACATACAAATACTACACACAATTCAGAAAGCCCTTTGGAAATTTAGCTCATTGTGTCTAATGAAGGTGTAGCTTCAGCTTTGAGTTGCAGCCTGAGATAGATCAGCAATCAAGACTTTGCTTTCACAATTGTCTAATGTGCTCAGATCTTTTCTGGAGAAGGAATTCCTCTATTCTTGTAGGCTAGTTTGACACCTAGCACAGGACCTAGCAATGGAAGACTTAGGGTAACCTTTCCAAAAATATCTAAGAGCCTTAGGAGCCTAAGTCCCATTTTCAGAAATGACTCAGGCACTTATGAGCCTAAGTCTATTGACTTTCAATTAAAATTGAGCTCTTAAATGCCTAAAGGAATGTCTAGAGCTGGAAGATGTAAATTCTAGCTCGAGGAAACGTAAGTGGCACTCTGATAGAGCTAGTGCAGTAAAAACAGAAGTGTAGCCACGGCGGCGTGCGGGGCTAGCCACCCCAAGTACAATCCGATCTGAGACCATAGGTATGCATGCTGGATGGCTAGCTCCTCCCACTGCTTGCACCACAGCAGCTACACTTCTGTTTTTAGTGTGGTAGCTTGATCACAGCTAGTGTGGCCATGTCTCCTCAAGCTGGAATTCACACATCCAGCTCAAAGTCGCTTCTGACATGGAACTAGGCACTTTTGAAAACTACCCTAACCCTGAAAAACAATAAGGCGGCAACAAATGCGTAGCCAGGATAGAAATGACTGATCATGTCATCACCCGAGTCCAGCGCAGGATCCATCATGGAAAATATAGGGATTCCTACAGTCCCTGAAAGGAAATATACCTGGAAAGCTGAACCTTCTGTAAAGTCAAAACCAGTCAGCTTTCCTGTGATCTTTGTTGTAGAGTGGTGGGAGGCACCGTTAACCCTCTCTGGGCAGTAACCACAATGAATCCCAGTGTTTCTCACCTCTCAGCACAAAAGGAGCACCTACTTTCAGCTTGAGACCATTTCCTATCACTTAGTGGGCTTGGGTTTTCTGGCACACGGTGCTCCGGCCACTGCTCCAGAATAAAAGAAAGAGCTAAAATGGCTGTGTAAGTCAACAGGGCGGAATGTGGGACTGTCTCCCTTGCTGCAATACCAAACAGCTCAGGCCTCTTCTATGCCTCAGTTTTCACCCAGTCTTTCACAGCTAGCAGGGAAGCCTTTCCCTATATACCTGACTGGATGCACCAGAGTGTTTTTTCTACTCTATGATGAAAGATCCCTTCACAGACAAAATGCCAAAGGGACAAATCCTGCCCTTAGATGTTCCTATGTGTCTCCCAATGAAGCTACCGGGAGCCCCACAGGTGCATCAGAAGGCAAAATTTGGCTCCTATATTGCATGCTGAAGCATTTATAGAGTTAATTCTGTTTCATCATGCTCCAATTCTGTTTTTCACTGTGAAAAGAAAATTGAAGAGAGACCTGCACGCTGACAAGCTGTGCTGTAAACCATCGGTATACTCACTAATTTCAGTCTGCAGTTTTCTGTCTTCACAATGTCGAGCTTCCTGTCGACCTCATAGATGTCCCTCTCTAGCAACTTCAGAACTTCCGTATGATCTTTCAACTGGTCAAATGCCAAGTCACGCTTTATTCTTAATTCATTCTTCAGCTCAGCCTATTAATAAATAAACCTTTCATTATTTTGCTTCATAGTAATTGATCTTGCATTTGGATTATAATTGTTGTAATCTAATAAATTCACAATAATAATAATAATACTTTTCACATATGTGGCACCTTTCGCTGAAATATTTCAAAGCGCTTTACAAAATGAATCTTGTCATTTCCATCTTACACATTAGGGAAAAGAGGCACAGAGGGGTGAAGTGGAATTGCTCAAGGTCAACAAGCCAGTGGCACAGTTGGGAATAGAATCCAGGTCTCCTGACTCTGTCTCATACACTAACCATTGAACCTTACTTCCTGTCTATTTATATCAGACATGGGGTCACATTGATGAGCTTAATCACACACACACACACAACATATTTCTATTGATGAAGGCTTTGGTGGTACACAAATGTTTTGAACACAGATTCTGGGTAAGTTACTGCCTATTTAAAGATACTTGGAGAAGGAGCACTTCCTTCTCAAATAAGGAATAGCATCTGTGCCTGTGGGCCAGCAACCACAGAGCTCCATCCTTGCAGTATCAGACCAGCCAGGCACAAACCTTGCAGTTTTGTGACTCATACACCTTTCTTTAGTACTGTGTCTTTCACACAAACCATCTGTGACTCTGAATTTCTCTCTCCTTACGCTGTTATCTATTGATATAGTCAAGATATGCAATGAGATGGAGAGATCATGAGACAAAGATACAGGAAGGTTTTACCAAGAAGCAGCAAAGGCTCTTGCATGAGCAGTGGTCAGCTTCTGTACAGGGACAGAGCTCACACAGGGCCCAATACTGCAGCCCCTTCCTCACTCAAGTCATCCTTTTAAATCCATTGGGACAGCTCATATGACTAAGGGTTACAAGATCAAGGTCAGTTTTTTGCATGACAAATGGCAGTGCTGCTCTATGTCTGAATCAAGCTATGCAAGAATCTCTGTGCATGACCAGTTCCACAGCAACTATAGGGAGATGGTACTGGAAGGGTGGAGGGAGATCATTAAAAAGCACAAGAACAGAGAGGAAGAAAACTGATTTAGGAAACTTTAACAAATATTGTTAAGGTTTGAACTATTACCATGATCTTCTTGAGTTTACCAATCATCTTGACTGACCGATCAATGGATTTTGTCAGTCTTGTCTCATCATCTTTTAGTTCTACAAATCAGGAAAAGGTTTTTTTAGACAACAGAACTAGATGTTCCATCAACAAGTGATCAACTGTATAAGGACGTTATTATTCATTATTAATGTTCCAGTAGTGTCCAGATGTCATAATCCAGCTGGTGCACAAAGCCCTCAGAGCTTCACTGTACTTTACAGTTCATCTGAACTATGGTAGACAGCTCTGGTACAGTCAGACCTCTTATTTATTATTTATATATCTAATTTAAAATTATTTTTTCCAAATGTACAAAAATATATCAAAATACCAGATTCACCATAATACACAAAGTAAGTAAAGAGGATTAGGATAAAGATCGGGGAGGGGAAGCGAAATATCTATCTTCAGGGTCTATATTAATCTTAGTCTATATTAACCTCTACAAAGTCAACTCAAATTACTTTGAATTTTTCAGGCATTCCCCTTCTGTGGAACGCCAGTTGCTCATTAGCTTCAAGGTCACCCATATCACCAAGTCTCTTTCTAAGACAGAAGCAGAAAGCTTCAAAGTGCCTCGGAGTTATTTCATACCTACCTGAGACTATTTTTTTCAAGTCTTCATATTTTTCATGCTTCTCTTCCAACTCTTTCCGTCTTTCTTCTATGAGAGGGATGCTCAGAATTAGTTGTTGTTCTTTTTGATATATATCTTCAGTTTTAGCTTGGACATCATCCTTTAGTGAAAATGAATGTTAATTAATGATCTATTAAAGTGGGCATAATCGTTGTAACAAAGGAAGACAAAATGAATAGATTAACTGGAAACTGCAGAGCTGAGAGACAGATTTGAAAATGAAGACTGGCAATTTGAATATCCAGAATGAGGAGACAGCCTAAGTAATTCTTTTGACATTACACATTGTGAATCTCCAGCCATATTACAAAGTTATTTAAATAGACGCAGTGAATTCAGGTGCGTGTACTGCAGGGCTGGCTCCAGGCACCAGCGAAGGAAGCAGGTGCTTGGGGCGGCCAATGGAAAGGGGCGGCACGTCCGGGTAACTTGTGCCTCTTCCTGGAGCTTCTACTCTTTCATACTCTTCTCCAGTTGTGCACACCCTAGTCATTTCAGTCATTCTGCAGTCTCTGTTCACTTATTTATCTTATTATAGTCTTCTTTATCCGTAAAGCAACGTGAATGCCCATGGCTCTACCTGCTGTCTCTCCTATTGCAGTGCTCTATGCACCCAGAGTATATTCCTGTGTCCATACAAGTATTGCCAGTACACCAGGGCCGGCTCCAGCTTTTTTGCCGCCCCAAGCGGCGAAGCAGGGGAAAAAAAAAAAAAAGCCGTGATCAGCGGCACTTCGGCGGCAGCTCTACCAGGCCGCTTCATTCTTCGGCGGCAATTCGGCAGCAGGTCCTTCGATCCGAGAGGGACTGAGGGATCCGCCAAATTGTAACACCAAAATGATAAAAAGTGAAGACACAGGAAGAAATGGAGACAGTTAAAGAAGAGAAAAACCAGAGAGAACCACTGAAGGAGAAATAATAGTTACATTCATTGTGTGATGTTAGAGCAACCCTATTAAAGACATTAGGTTAGGAGTTAAAGAGCATTTATCATACGTTATGTATGTTTTTGAACAGCACAGCTGCCAGGAAATGCACATAAGGAGAGATCCAGGGTGTAATTATTTTAGATCCATACACACATTGAAAGAGGCATTGAAAGAGAGAGAGAAGAAGAGGCTTGGGATATTTCATACATTAAGGATGTCTGATTTATCCTATTCTGAACCATTAGACTGATGGCTGAGAATCATACAACCAGGAAAGTTTACCTAGGGTATGTCTACACTACAGGATTAATCCGAATTTAGATAATTCGAATTTGGGAAACAGGTTGTATAAATTCGATTGTGCGCGGCCACACTAAGCACATTAATTCGGTTTTTAACCACATTAATTCGGTGGTGTGCGGCCACACTACCCCATTACTTTAACCACAGTAATTCGGTGGTGTGCGGCCACACTAACCCTAATTCGAATTAACAAAATCGATTTAGGCGCTACTCCGCTCGTCGAGGTGGAGTACAGAAATCGATTTTAAGTGCCCTTTAATTCGAATTAACTGGCTCTGTAGTGTGGACGGGTGAAGGGTTAATTCGGATTAACGCAGCTAAATCCGAATTAAAGTCGTAGTGTAGACCAGGCCCTAGAGACAGAGGAAATGCCATATACACCCGATGGGAGAAGTGCCTGATGTTTCTGGAAGCTCCAGTCAGTTCTCATTCAGAGTCTCACATTGTCCTCCTTTCTCTTTGAAGGAGGGCTGCTGGATGCTATAATAGAGCACTCAGAGGATTAGAGCACATAGGACCAAACTGCCCTGCATTACGCCTCACACAACACCAGTGATTTCAATGGATTTACAGCTCTGTAACTCAGAACAGAGTTTGGCCCATCATGTCAGCAGCGAGACTAAATATTTTCAGAAAGCCTGTGCTATTTATCTAAATATTGTGGGACAAATTTCACACTGATTGACTCCAAGCAGCTGCTTCAAAGTTAAGGTCCTATATATTTGTTTTTACATTTTTTATTTCACTTTTTATGGGTACTTTTTCTGCATGGAATTCAATTTGATAGATATGAGTACATACATATGGAAAAGGACACACATGTGGAGGGCACGCCACAATTTAGTAGCAGTATGAGTTGTTCAATCAACTTCCTGTACTAGATGATACATCAGCCACAAAACTCGGACTGATGCCTTTGTTGTTGGTTTGTCTGGAAGACTAGTGAGAAGGAAACAGTTTTATTTTATTTCTCACTTAAGTCTCCTCTAGCAGTTCAGAGAACGGGTGGGATTAAGGCAGTTTAAACCAAACAATGATCAGACTTCTTTGCCTTTGGCATCTAGCAATCAAGTAACTGTGGGAAAGCTCCCTGCATGGAATCCACCACTTCATCGCTCTTATTTTCAGTGCACACAAAGCCTTGTACCAGTTGCAAAGGAAGACTTTATCCACTGCTAGTAAGTGCTAAGGGCCCGATTCAAAGCCCAGAGACATCAGTGGGCTTTGGATCAGGTCATAACTGCTTAGCAAGAAAAAGAAAATCCAAAAAACCCAGGCCAAACCCAAACCTCTCCTGTTCTAGAAGAGTCAGTACAGCATTCAAAGAGTTAATATGGCACTGAATCGCTTTTTCTTGAAACTATTAGTAATCATGGGACAAATTATTTGCTAGTGTCAATTGGTGTAGCACCATTGAAGTCAAGAGAGTGGTGCCAATTGACACCAGCAAAGAAGGTCTCTCCATTTAAACTACTCTTTTCAAGAATTTTTTTAAAATGACATTTACCTCAAGCCATTGTATGTCTTCTGTTAAGCTGTTTTCATACTTCTCGCATTCAGCTTCCCTTTTATTTACATCATCACTAAGGTGTTTGAACTGTTCTTCAGCCTGCAAAATTTCTTTTTGGAAATACTCATTCTGGTTGCAGAAAACAAAATTAACAGGGACAATCATTTCTGCAGTACACACAGGCTCACTTGCAATATTAAACAATAACTGGGCTGAGTACAATGGGTGCAGTTGTCATGTGAAACACAGTGCTGTGTGATCATAACTGCTTTACAATTTTATTAATCATCTGTTAAAGCCAGATTCTCAGATGGCGTAAACTGACACAGCGCCTTCGAAATCATAATTTACACCAACTGAGGATCTGGCCCTTAAAGTTTAACCACTTTGCCAAGAACAGCGTGAAAGGTAGGGGCTTACAGTGAATAGGCTTTGTTGTAATGCCAACTGGTTAACATACCTTTGCAATTAGCTCAGCATGACGTTTTTTACCAGTCTCAAGTCTTACATTCATTTCATTCATGAATCTCTCCTCTGTTATCCACAAGACCTCCTTCTTCTTTGCTAGGTGAAGTTGTTTCCACTGAAGCAAAGCTCTAGTGGTAAGTACACAAACAGTATCACCCATTACATGACATTGCATTGTAATTGATTAGGAAATCAGAGCTGCATAGCATGTGTAAAGTAACAAAGCAGACTTCATTCTGAGAGGCACAAACAGAATAAATTCACAGGTTTCAAGGCCAGAAGGAACCACTGTGATCATCTAAGTCCAACCTCCTGCATAACACAGGCCGTAGAGTTTCCCAAAAATAATTCCTAGAGCAAATGTAGCCATGCAATGGAGGTAATGATGTGGATAATAAAGAGGATGGAACAATATGGCCAGAGAGGTTCAGTTCTTACCTCTGTAAGGAAAACAGAGTCGCAAACAGTTGGGAGGCACTCATGGAGAAAAAGCCCTAAGAGAAGTATATAGAACAGGGATCGGCAACCTTTCGCATGCAGCCTGCCAGGGTAAGCCCCCCTGGCAGGCCGGGCCAGTTTGTTTACCTGCCGCGTCCGCAGGTTCGGCTGATCGCGGCTCCCACTGGCCGCGGTTCGGCACTCCAGGCCGATGGGGGTGGCGGGAAGCGGTGGCCAGCACCTCCCTCGTCCCGCGCCGCTTCCCGCAGCCCCCATTGGCCTGGGACGGTGAACCGCGGCCAGTGGGAGCCACGATCAGCCAAACCTGCGGACGCGGCAGGTAAACAAACCGACCCGGCCCGGCCTGCCAGGGTGCTTAGCCTGGTGAGCCGCGTGCCAAAGGTTGCCGATCCCTGATATAGAACTTGCCTCTCTAAAAATAAGATATGTCCCGTTTGGTTTGGAAGAGTAGCACATCTTGAGCACAGCTGAGAGAAACTGGGATTTAGACCAGAATCTGAAGATGGTTCACCTTGTGAGTATTCCCCCTCTCCCCCACCTCTTAGGTTCACTTGGAGTTCTGAGTTTGCTGAGTAAACTTCAAAGCAAACTGGAAAATTTTTATCATCCTCTCACACCTAACTCCAGTTACAATAATTAATTCGGATTTATCCAACTTGGGGCCTCTTCCATAGCTAGCTCCTCCCTGCCCATACACACTAAAAGAGAGATATGAAAGGGCCTCCTGGCATCTAAATCCAAGCATCACTGCTTAAACAGAGTATGCAGAGTGATGCAAAGTACATCTTGGCAGATCTCATCAATAGGGATGCATTTAGCATAACTCTTATTACAATGTGCTTTCAATGGTCTTTGTAGAACATGCTTCCCCCCCCACCCCACAAGGTTTACTAAACAAAACAAACTCAATGGGAGGCTCTACTTAAAGGCTGAAAAATATGTAGTCCCCAGCAAAGCAGCTGACATAATCCAAGATGCAAAATCATTTTAAAACAGACCATCCTCTTTCCTAGTCCACTGTGCTCATGACAGCTGGAGCCCTAAATGTCTACCAGACTGGTGGTATGATTTTCAAAGGTGCTGAGCATTCTAAGTACCCATTGCCTTTAACAGGAGTTGCGGGCACTTGGCACTTGAGAAAATTAGGCCACACAGACTCAAGGTCTGATCCGGCTCCCAGTGAAATCAATGGCAAAACTCCCATTGACCTCAATTGTGCAAGATCAGCCCTAAACTGGAAAACAACAGCAATAGCTTACAAGCATACAGTGATTTTCCATCTGGAAGGATCCCAAAGTGCTTTACAAAATTAAATTGGTACCCAAACCAGAACAATTTAATGCATTGCTGATACAGAACCACCTACTTGGTAAAGTTTAGCAGCTGTTACCACACAACAACACTACAGGACAGGAAATGAGACAGCGGGGGAATTTAGAAGACAGAATACAATTACCCCAGATGTAATTTGGCCATGACATTGAGATGAATCACTCCTTGTCCAGCAAAAAGGACCACTGAAGCTTTGGGCGGTTAGGACCTTGGTTTTAGGTCTTATTTGAAAAATATAAACAAAGTCTCCATAAATCATTAATATGTTGATCTGTTCCTTATGAGGATGGTGACCTGTAATTTTACCTCATCTCACTTTCTCTCTTTAAACATTGCTCTAGATTCTCTAGTTCTCTTGCATAGGCATCCTTAGCGTTTCTGAAACAAGAATAAAGGTTCAGAATAATGCTAACTTTTGCATACCATTTCATTTTATAAGTCATTTTTTGAATATACAATTTTTAAAGCTTTTTCCAAGGCAGCAAGCTAAGCACTCCTACCAGCTGGGGACTCACTTCTCAGAAATATACCTATTTTGGTGTGCAGTCATGGTTCTGTGCTTCATATGGTTTGTGGTCTCTTAGGTAGGCGACATGATTGCAAAGTTAAACAGGCACTTGGTGGAGGCTATGGCAAAGCCAAGAGTCCTGACTTATGCCAGAATAAATAACACTGCGAGAGAAGGCAACCAGAGGTCCTATTAATCAAGCCCAAAACACCACGGCAAAAGTTTAAGAACAGAGATGTTACATTAGTATGATTTAGGTGCAGTAACTAATACAGAAGAACCTGCACAGATGTGGAGAGTCAAGGCAGATGGATGCATACATTCATTGCACACATTATATATATCTGCTAATGTAGAAGTCCCAAGGCAAACATTAGCATGCAACAATTTTTTGTGGACTCAACACATTCTAGAGGATTTTAGTTTAATAAAATAAAAAGGCTGGTAGTTGGAGGCAGATGTAATCCTGCTCCCATATGTCTGACTGCGTTTTCCGGAGACGCTGTTACCAGTGACCCGCTCTCCTTTGAGATACAAGAGGGAGATGGAGAAGTGCCTACCCAAAGCCCCATGAAGATATGGCAGTAGGTGGTAGCGGACAGTCTCCCATGCTTAAAGGGCAGGGCTTACACCAACCCTGAGGCTGCCACCCCAGGAGACTTCAAATGTACGCAGGTGGGGTGGCCCCGCAGAGACAGCTGAACATGTCCTAACTGATATTCTGGCCACGTTTGGTTAGCAAAATAATACTAGTATTTTTGCTATTCAGCAACTTATAAAATTCTGTTCGCTCATCCCTCATCAGCAGATTTATTTTTCCTGGTTTTTTAGACCTGTTCTCTGAAAGAACCCTTACAGACAATAGTATTGTGGACAGGTGGCTATTTAAAAAACAAACCAAAACGAAGACTTTACCCTCCTTTTCCTTTGTGTGTTCCAATGCTCCTTGTAATATATATTCTTACGGAATTGCTAATAATAATACACTACACAGCAGTTTTCATAGTAGATTTCAAAGTGCTTTAAAAAGGAGAGCAGTATCATTATTCCCATTTTACAGATGGGGAAACTAAGGCATAGGGAGATACACTGACTTGCTATGGGTCACCCAGCACTCCAGGGCTAAGAACAGAACCCAGGTCTCCTGAATCCCCATCCAGTGCTCTATCCACTATATCATGCTGCCTTCCTGTAACACTGCACATAACATTGGGGCTGATCTTGAGAAATCCTAAGTGCCAGTTAAGTCAATGGGAGTTCACAGAATCATATAATAAAATGCAAGACATTAGAGATGGAACAGACTTTCCAATCCAGCTCTCCGAGTGCAGGATTATTCCATAAGATATACTGCTTTGTCCAGTCTAGTTTTAAAAGTCTTAACCAATGGGGCTTCTACCACTTCTGTAGGAGATTACCTGTCAGGATGCGGTCCATTCCTAGCATTATTTCAGATAACCAAATAATACCGAGACAGTGATAATTAGTTCACCTCCTCTTCTTGTTAATTTATTCCTTATATTTTTAAACTGCTGACTTCGCTGCATGAGTATTTCAATATGAGATTTTCCTTCTCTTTACAACATTGTTTGGCTATTCCTTACCCTTTATTTCTCAATTTCATGTATACACAGAAGGTATATCCTGTTGGGTCAGTTCAAGTTAAATACCAAGATAGACATCAGACTATATCTATTGAGTCTCTTCCTTCTTCAACATAAAAAGTGAGAATAATTATTTTCCTACATTTTATCCATAACTAAGATACCTGCATATTAATGATGTGCCAGGAAATGCTCCTGAGAAGGATTCAGGGGGGATAACAGCAGGCAAGGAGAGGCTGGCAGCACAGCTCCTGCCAGAACCATGCTACCAAGAGGCAGCATGAAGCCAGAAAAATACATGGCAGTTAAAAGACAAGGGGTGTCTGTGCAGATGCTCGTTGCCTCTGGTCCGTCACGGGGAACGTGTAGGGTTATGCGTAGCCCTCCCCCACCCTTTTCTGCAGAGAGGGACAGACCATGCCCCCTGGCAGAAAAATGAAAAATAAGCTCTGAGAGTTGAAGTGCAAGGAGTTGCCACTCCCCCATGTGGTACTTGACAGTTATTAGGGCACAGGATTCCATCATTTTGCACTGATTCAAGGATCAGGGCTAATATATTCTGATTGCTACATGCTATACAGGGCTATCATGCTAAAAACAGCACTGTGGAGGTTGCAGCTTGGGCTGGAGCTCAGGGTCTCAAACCTATGGGGGCAGATGTGCTTGAGAGCCCAAGCCGCAAGATTCACCCCACTCTGAAAACTGCTATTTTTAGCTCCCTGGATGAGTTGCTCAATGTACCAGCCAATAACAGGTCCCAGAAAGCTGTGCCAATAGCCACAGATCACAAGAATGCAGCAATGCTCTGTGAACACTCGCGCCAAGCACATCCTCTACACCAGGGAGCAAGATGCAGGCTATACCAAGTCTACACAACCCAGGAACTGCACCATATCAGAGGAAACCTCAGCTGCCCAATTACGGCAGCTTTACAGCCCCTTTGCCCCACCAAAAAGGGGCTGTAGCCTGGACCAGGATCTGAGCCATTTACATTTGTTTAATTTTGAAGTTATGTATTCAATACTATTTCTATACTATTTCTCTGAATCAATGTCTTGTTCTTAATCTTCTTGTTTGTGTTTACTTTGCCTGGCAATAATAAACTGCAGGCAGCATTATCGGTAACTAAAAAAGCAAGACTTCTTTGCGTGTAGTTTTATACCAACTTGCTGGTATGGTTTATAAACTCATTTGGCTTTCTCTTTAAAGTATCTTTGAATGTTTAAGTTTTAGTCTTTCCCAAACTCACATGGGCCCATGATTAAGCTGCAGCCAGGTCATTAATACAGTCAATACTGAAAAGTGACATACTGAAAGATATCTTCGAGTCTCTCAACTTCATCCTCCAAGTTTTGCTCCTCCACCACACGCTTTGACAGAACATCAAGTCTTTCATCCAGCCAACTGGATAATCGTTCAAGGCTACAAAGAGAGAAAAATCAGTTAGCTCCTCTGTCAAGGCTGTATCCTCACTTTGAACTTTAGGGTACAAATGTAGGGGCCTGCATGAAAACTTCTAAGCTTATCTACCAGTTTAGCTTTGGTCCGCTGCCACCATCACAAGAATTCCCTCCCTGGGAAGCCTTTAGAAACCTTTCACCAATTCCCTGGTGAACACAGATCCAAACCCCCTTGGATCTTAAAACAAGGAGAAATTAACCATCCCCCCTCCTTCTTCCCACCCTCCTTTCACCAACTCCTGGTGAATACAGATCCAAACCCCCTTGGATCTTAAAACAAGGAGAAATCAATCTGGTTCTTAAAAAAGAAGGCTTTTAATTAAAGAAAAAGGTAAAAATCATCTCTGTAAAATCAGTATGGAGAATAACTTTACAGGGTAATCAAACTTAAAGAGCTCAGAGGACCCCCCTCTGTCTTAGGTTCAAAGTACAGCAAACAAAGATAAATACTCTGGTAAAAGGTACATTTACAAGTTGAGAAAACAAAGTAAATCTAAGATGCCTTGCCTGTCTTTTTACTTACAAGTTTGAAATAGGAGAGACTTGTTTAGAAAGATGGGGAGAACCTGGATTGATGTCTGGTCCCTCTCAGTCCCAAGAGCGAACAACCCCTTAAAACAAAGAGCACACACAAAAGTCTTTCCCCCCCCAAGATTTGAAAGTATCTTGTCCCCTTATTGGTCCTTCGGGTCAGGTGTTAGCCAGGTTACCCGAGCTTCTTAACCCTTTACAGGTAAAAGGATTTGGAGTCTCTGGCCAGGAGGGATTCCATAGCACTGTACACAGGAGAGCTGCCACCCTTCCCTTTATAGTTATGACATCCTCAGTCATAAAAAGAAGTGATTTTACTCTTCAAAAAGAAAAGCTTTAGAAATAAAACTGCATTCTCTAAAAATCAGGACATAAGAATGGCCATACTGGGGCAGACCAATGATCCATCTAGCCCAGTATCTTGTCTTCCAATAATGGCTAATGCCAGGTGCTTCAGCGGGAATGAACGTGAACAGATAATCATAGAGTGATCCATCCCGTCGCCCATTCCCAACTTCTTGCAAAAAGAGCATAGGGACACTTCAGAGAATGGTTTTGCATCCCTACCCATCCTGGCTAATAGCCACTGATGGACCTATCCTCCAAGAACCTATCTAATTCTTTTTTGAACCCTGTTATAGTCTTGGCCTTCACAACATACTCTGGCAAAGAATTCCACCGATTGACTGTGCATTGTGTGAAGAAATACTTCCTTTTGTTTGTTTTAAACCCGCTGGCTATCATTTGGTGACCCCTAGTTCTTGTGTTATGAGAAGGAGTAAATTTATTTACTTCCTTTTTACCTTCTCCATATCAGTCATGATGGGGTAACCAGATCTGCACGCAGTATTCCAGATGTGGGCATACCATGGATTTATATAGAGGCAACATGATATTTTCTGTCTTATTTATCTCTTTCCTAATGATTCCCAACATTTGGTTCGCTTTTTTGATTGCCGCTGCACATTGAGTGGGTGTTTTCAGAGAATTATCCACAATGACTCCAAGATCTCTTTTTTGAGTGGTAACAGCTAAATTAGACCCCATCATTTTATATGTATAGTTGGGATTATGTTTTCCAATGTGCATTACTTTGCATTTATCAACACTGAATTTCATCTGCCATTTTGTTGCCCAGTTTTGTGAGATCCCTTTGTAACTCTTCACAGTCTGCTTTGGACTTAACTATCTTGAATAGTTTTGTATCATCTGCAAATTTGCCACCTCACTGTTTACCCCTTTTTCCAGATCATTTATGAATATGTTGAACAGCACCGGTCCCAGTACAGACCCCTGGGGGACACCACTATTTACTTCTCTCCATTCTGAAAACTGACCATTTATTCTTACCCTTTGTTTCCTATCTTTTAACCAGTTACTGATCCATGAGATGACCTTCCCTTTTATCCCATGACTGCTTACTTTGCTGAGCCATTACAAACATTGAATCTATTTCCTCATGTAAGTATTCTCACACGTCTTATCAAACTGTCTGTACTGGGCTAATTTGATTATCACTTCAAAAGTTTTTTTCTCTTACTTAATTGGTCTCTTAGAGTTGGTAGGACAACTCCCACCTTTTCATGCTCTCTGTATATGTATATATATCTCCTCAATATATGTTCCATTCTATGCATCCGAAGAAGTTGGCTGTAGCTCATGAAAGCTTATGCTCAAATAAATTTGTTAGTCTCTAAGGTGCCACAAGTACTCCTGTTCTTTTTACTTTGTTTAAGAGCCTTTGGTGAGGGACCTTGTCAAAGGCTTTCTGAAAATCTAAGTACACTGTATCCACTGGATCACCTTTGTCCACATGCTTGTTGACCCCCTCAAAGAATTTTAGTAGATTGGTGAGGCATGATTTCCCTGTACAAAAACCATACTGACTCTTCCCTAACAAATCATGTTCATCTATCTGTCTGATAATTCTGTTCTTTACTACAGTTTCAATCAATTTGCCTAGTACTGAAGTTAGGCTTACTGGCCTGTAATTGCTGGGATTGCCTCTGGAGCCCTTTTTAAAAATTGGCATCACATGAGCTATCCTCCAGTCATTTGGTACAGAAGCTGATTTAAATGAAAGGTTACAGACTACAGTTAGTAGTACTGCAATTTCCCATTTGAGTTCCTTTAGAACGCTTGGGTGAGTACCATCTGGTCTTGATGATTTATTACTGTTTAATTTACCAATTTGTTCCAAAACCTCCTCTAATGATGCCTCAATCTGGGACAGGTCCTCAGATTTGTTACCTAAGAAGAATGGCTCAGGTGTGGGAATCTCCCTCACATCCCCAGCCATGAAGACCGATGCAAAGAATTAATTTAGTTTCTCCACAATGGCCTTATCGTCCTTGAGTGCTCCTGCAGCACCTCGATCGTCCAGTGACCCCACTGTTTGTTTAGCAGGCTTCCTGCTTTGGACTTTTTTTTTTTGTTGTTGTTGTTACTTTTTGAGTCTTTGGCTAGCTGCTCTTCAAATTCTTTTTGATCCTTCCTAATTATATTTTTACACTTCACTTGCCAGAGTTTATGCTCCTTTCTATTTTCCTCAATAGAATTTAACTTCCCCTTTTTACAGGATGCCTTTTTGCCTCTAACTGCTTCTTTTACTTGGTTGTTTAGCCACAGTGGCACTTTTCTGGTCCCCTTACTATGTTTTTTAATTAGGGGGTTTCATTTAAAATGAGCCTCTATTACGATGTCTTTAAAAAGCTTCCATGCAGCTTGCCAGGATTTCACTTTTGGCGCTGTACCTTTTAATTTCTGTTAACCAACGTCTTCATTTTTGTGTAGCTCCCCTTTCTGAAATTAAATATTACTGTGGTGGGCTGCTTTGGTGACCCCCTCCCCATTGGGATGTTAAATTTTCTTACGTTATGGTCACTATTACCAAACGGTTCAGCTATATTCATCTCTTGGACCAGATCCTGTGCTCCACTTAGGACTAAATCAAGAATTGCCTCTCCTCTTGTGGGTTCCAGGAATAAGCTGCTCCAAGAAGCAGTCATGTAAGGTGTCAAGAAATTTGATCTCTGCATCCAGTCCTGAGGTGACTGTGACCCTCTGTACCCCAAAGCAACACTCTGGCACCTCCATATTTACCATAGTTTTAGGATTATGATATGCTTTGTACAAAGTATGCCTTGTGAGGTATCATTTTAAAAGTCTCGATCTGTTGAACATTAATACCCTGTTGGATTGTATGTGCTATCATTGTATGGGAAGTTATGGAGTTTTGCTATGTGTGTGTTACTGAAATATGTTGCAAGGTTGGGAACACCCACAACCCGCCTTTCAGGTACAACAATGGAGCAGCCAGACACTGATAATGGCCCATTAAGAGGAATACAGACTCACAAGGACTACCCCAGGAACTGTATACAATGGAGGCCTCTCAGAGAGAGCACGTAGACAATGGAGGCTGCTTGATTCACCTCATAGCAAAAGATCCTTCCAATAAGCTGGAAGAACTATAAAGGAGGGGAAGTGACATCATCATTTGTCCTCACTCCCCCCACAACTCAACACTTGGAAACATATCTGGAGAACAAAGACTGAACTGGGGAGGTGGTCTCAGGCTGGAAAGGAGAATCCCAGCTCTTGTATTAAGGAACTATACCAGGGGTCGGCAACCTGCGGCACGCAAACCAATTTTTACTGGCACGCTGCTGCCAGCCGGGGTCCCGGCCGCTGGCCCCGCTCAGCCCCCTGCCTGCCTGGGTGAACGGAATCCTAGGCTGGTAGCGGGCTGAGCGGGGCCGACGGCCAGGACCCCAGCTGGCAGGAGCCGGCAGCCGGAACTCCAGACCGTCAGCTGGCTGAGCTGCTCAGCCCGCCGCCGGTCTGGGGTGCCATCCGTCGGCTCAGCCAACTGCCAGTGTAAGGTCCTGGCCGCCGGCCCCTTGCCAGCCGGGATCCCGTCCGCCGGCCCCGCTCAGCCCGCTGCCGGCCTGGATGGACAGAACCCCGGACTGGCAGCGGGCTGAGTGGGGCCAGTGGCCGGGACCCCGGCTGGCAGGGGCCGGCGGACAGAACCCCAGACCAGCAGCGCAGGTGGCAGACGGAACCCCAGACCGGCAGTGCGCTGAACTGCTCAGCCCGCTGACAGTCTGGGGTTCCGTCCGCCGGCCCCTGCCAGCCAAAGTCCCTGCTGCCGGCCCCGCTCAGCCCGCTGCCAGTCTGGGGTTCCGTCGGGGGCCCCTGTTAATGTAAAATGTATTACTGGCACGCGAAACCTTAAATTACTGAAGACCTGGCACGCCCCTTCTCAAAGGTTGCCAACCCCTGGACTATACCATCGGGATGAGACGTGGCTTGATTGAAATCCTGTCTGATTTATAGAACTCAGATTGTGATTTTATTTTTATTTCTTAGGTAACCAACTTTGATCTGTGGGTTTATTACTTATAATCACTTAAAATCTATCTTTCTGTAGTTAATAAATCTGTTTTCTATTTTACCTAAAACAGTGTGTTTTGCTTGAAGTGCTTGGGGAATCTGCTCAGCGTACAAAAGCTGGCACATGTCCACTTTCCTTCGTAGAAGTGGCAAACTGGGTAATAAACTGACACTGGTCAGGCTGGGGAGCTATGGGGAATTGGCTGGAGCTTCTCTATTGCTGGTTCATGAGTGGCTAGGAAAAGCATTCACGTAACTCAGCTGGGTGTGTCTCTGCCTGTGGGTGTCTGTGTAAGTGCAGAACCTGGAGAGGTTTGCAGATTGCCACAGCATCACAGTGTGAGAGGGAACCCAGATTGTTATGACAGAGGGCTCAGTGATACCCCAGTTCCAGGTTGTGACTCAGGGAACCCATCACAGTGATATGTACCCAGTCAATATGGGGATAGGTGAAATTCCCCATTATTATTGAGTTTATTTTTATAGCTTCTCTAATCTCCCTGAGCATTTCACAGTCACTATCACCATCCTGGTCAGTAGTATATCTCTACTGCTATATTCTTATTATTCAAGCATGGAATTACTATCCATAGAGATTCTATGGTACAGTTTGGTTCATTTAAGATTTTTTTCTTCATTTGACTCTACGCTTTTGTTCACATATAGTGCCACTCCCCCACCAGTACGACCTATTCTGTCCTTCTGATATATTTTGTACTCTAATACTACTGTGTCCCATTGACTATCCTCATTCCACAAAGTTTCTGTGATGCCTATTATATCAATATCCTCATTTAATACAAGGCACTCAAGTTCACCCATCTTAATATTTAGACTTCTAGCATTTGTATATAAGCACTTAAAAAATTGTCACTTTTTAGCTGTCTGCCATTATGTGATATAACTGAATGGGCTCTTTTTCATTTGGCTGTTTCTCATCAGATTCTACCCATATTTTATCATATTCCATCCTCTCCTCCTTACTAAGATACAGAGAATCTCCGTTAGTAGATCGTCCCCTACGGGATATCTCAGTCCAAACCACATGCTCTTCCACACCTGTCGGCTTTCCCTTAGTTTAAAAACTGCTCTACAACCTTAGAATTAAGAAATTGACAGATTAAACCTACTCTGTTGCCGCCTCGTCCCTTTTTGCATGTAAGTGTTCCTCTTCTGCCAGTAATATCCGATACTGGCTACTTATAAATTTATTTTCATGTTTAAGTTTTCTATTCAGGCCTTCAGCTGTACGTAACTCTTCCTTAGTCTAGAAATAAAGACCAAAGTTAGTTACTAAATATTCATTCTAATTCCCAGTCTATTTTACATATATCTAATAGTCATAGTAATAA